CAGGTCTGTGTGGTCTGCCCAGGTGTGTATGGTCTGCCCAGGCAGTCTGCCCAGGTCTGTGTGGTCTGCCCAGGTGTGTGTGGTCTGCCCAGGTGCGCATGCCCAGATGCCTCTACTCTCTTGAGTCTGCCCAGATGCGCTGATTCACATGTGTCTTAATCAGATGCACCAAGGAAACCCATTTTCTACCTTCCACTGTGATCCCTTCATGTCCCCCCCACCCCTCTCCCCCTTCCTCCCCTCCCTCTCTCTCCAGAGTCACCGCTCGATATACTCACACCCGAACGAGCTCCAACAGCTTTGCCAGCAAGTGCTTTCTCGCGACATTCGCTCCGTCTCCCAGCGGCAACAGTCCACAAAGAGCGAGCTCCGTAACAAGGCACTCGCGAGTGTAGCGCCTACTTATTCAGCGCATGTTGATGGTGCAGCCAAAGGTGAATGGATCATATCAAAGGGTGGATGTGGGGAGGATAGCTTGGAGCAAAAGGCTGTTTCTGGGAGTGTAATGTACCATGTAATCTTGGATGGGATAGATTTCAGTTATGCTGTTACAGGTGGTAACCATGTAACTGTTCTTGAAGCACATGTAGCTTCTTGCTGAGTTTGGCAAAAACTCTTTTAGGAACCAATTGAGATTGTAGTCCTGGTGCTACACATCATCACGAATCCTTAGTTTGGTGACATCCAGCGAGGATACTGTACAGCAGAAGGAGCCTTGAGAATGCGAAGAGATCGGACGGCTGAGCGCATTCTGCCTTTCGATGATATCAATGCACCACGCATGATGATCGCAGGACAATTTGACGGTGAGGGACGACATGACGAAGCTCCGGCGCATAATGTCAACCGTTGGATTGACCTCCTGAAATTGCCGTCAATCTTCGGCCCCCTTCATAGTCACACGAGATCAAGCTCCATGCAAAATGCACGCATCGGATGAGAGAAGCATCGACCTTCTCGGAAAAATTACCAGATTCGTGATTCTAATGGTGCCACACACAATGTGCCGTCCTAATTGCCGAAGTCTCTGGCTTTGTCAGAACGTTCACATAATTTCTCCAGGGTAGGTACCGTGAAAACTGAACATCATTCTCGAGTACCCTGCTGTGAGAAACTATGGCGTCACTCAGCTCCGCCGCAACTGTCTGCGCTGCAGCATCTTTCGAGCATGCCGCTGTCAGCATTGCCGATATCCACGGCAAGGTGCCTCAAAGCTTCAGGCATGAATTCCACGGACGGCCTGTCGCGAGCGTGCGCCTGACAGGTACTAGTCCTCTCAGATTCCGATCAAATTCTATCAAATTTGATCAAATTCGATCAAATTCGATCTGTTCAGTTCCATTGCTGATTCAGGTGCAACATGCGAGCTTTCCTTTGGTCCTTTTACTGCCCGTCGCGAGAATTCAACAACCGTTTACTGATCTAAATTGGAGCTTCAGCAAAAGTGGATTTTCTTCCATGTTGACGAGAGCCCCTGCATTCGTCCTTTTCCGTCGTGTGATAGAAGAGTAGTTGTAAGGCGTCAACATGGAAAAGGACGAATGCAAGGCGTAGTTTTAAGGCGTCTCACCTCTATTGACGAGCCGCTGCGTTCATCCTTATTCTTCCTTTTCTTCTTTTCCTCTTTTTCTTTCCATCTCTCCAGGTTCAGGCAGACACAGCAAGTCACTCCCTGGACCAATCTCCTTCTCCCTCCAACCACACGTCGTCGCGTCCACGTCATCCTCCTCCACGTCATCGTCCGCCATGACTGGCTCTGTCCCCGCATCCGACGGCGGGGACGCTCCCTTCCGGCAGATGAGTCCGGAGGAGCACTGGCAGTGGGGCACGCCGCCGCGCCTCATTGGCAACTGGCACGGCCAATGGCGGTCGTGGAAGCCGTTCGAATCGAGGGACGAGATCCGATCCATGAAATCCGTGCGGAAATTCTGGGCCACGTCACCCGACCTCAGCACCTTTTCCCAAATCGTGAGCCTGCCGACCGGCCATTGCCGATGAGTTGGTTATTGAGGATGCTCATATCATACCAACTCAGCTTGCGGATTCACTCAAGATGAGTTGCGGGTTCAGCCACTTCATTCCCCCTCACTCTCTTCCTCCACACTCACACCCCTCCCCTCCCTCAGAACGACTGGTACGACTACCAAGGCGACGTTGCCGCGACGCAGCCCACGGTGGGCGTGCAGTGGGACCCGTGCCTGGCAGAGCAGAGCCTGGCAGACGGGTTCACCCACATCCTTCCCCCTCACACTCTTACACCACTTGGAAAGCGCTCTCACTCCACCACTACTCCACTCCATCTCTTCCCTCCCTTCAGAACGACTGGTACGACTATCAGGGGGAAGTTGCCAAGAAGCAGCCGACAGTGGGCGTGCAGTGGGACATGTCCCTGGCAGAGCACAGCCTGCCAGACGGCTTCTGCCACGTGTTCAACCTCAACGCGCGGCGCTACGACGTCAGCAGGAAGGTGGATGCCATCTGGGCGCCTCTGAAGGTGGCGGATGGGGAGGGGGGAATCCAGCTGCCTCTGCTGGTCGAATTCTTCTTCTCCCACAGTGAGTCCTGGTTTGGGTGCGGTTCTGCTTTTGAGTCTGCTTGAATGTCAGTGACATTACGTCACCTGGGCAAGTGGGATCAAGCTCCTCCTTCTGGTCAAGTTGGTCTTCTCCCGCAGTGAGTTCCGCTCCTGTTGAAGCTGGTCAATATCCCCCTTTCCACACACGGATGCCATCTGGGCGCCCCTGGAGGTGGTGGATGGGGAGGACGGGATCAAGCTCCCCCTGCTGGTCGAGTTATTTTCGCCCACAGGGAGTCCCGCTCTTCTTAAGACGTCTCAGCTCAGGTTTTCACACAGCAGGAAGGTGGATGCAATTCGCCAGATGAAACCGGTTACCACCAATTTTTAATACAAGGGATTTTTTTTCAAGCAAGCTTTTTGCTACTCTAAGCATCTACTTAGTCGCTGCCACTCAAGTGGTGTTCCCTCATGACTGTGCCACGTGTTCAGCTGCAAAGCGCGCCGCGACGGCGTCAGCAGAGCGTTCAGTACCTCGGTTGTTTCCTCCCACGCATCTCATTCCCCCCTCCCTCCCCCCCTCTTCCTCCCCTCCTCCTCCCGTTTTTGTTCCTCGCTATTTCTCCAGCCCCCGCGTCTCGTCTTGGCAGTGTGATAGGGTTCGAGCAAAACGGAGCATTCGGACCTCTTTTGCTTCCTCCCATTCATCTCATCCCCCCCCTCCCTCATCCCTACACCCTCATCCCTACCCCTCATCCCTACCCCCTCATCCCTACCCCCGCCCCCCTCCCTATCCCTCCAGCCCCCACGTCTCGTCTTGGCAGCGTGATTGGCTTCGAGGCAGACGGTGCCTTCAGTACCTCACTCGCTTCCTCCCATGCATCTCATCTCCCCCCCACCTCCACCCCTCCTCCACCCCCACCCCCAGCCCCCCTCCCTATCCCTCCAGACCCCACGTCTCGCCTCGGCAGTGTGATAGGCTTCGAGGCAGACGATGCATTCAGAGCTTGAGTTGTTTCCTCCCTCCTCTCCCCCTCCCGCCCGCCCTCCTCCCCACCCCCGGCCCCCCTCCCTATCCCACCAGCCCCCACATCTCGCCTCGGCAGTGTGATAGGCTTCGAGGCAGACGGGGCGTTCAGAGCCTCCGTTGTTGTCGAGGAGTCGCTAGACACCAACGAACGCCGCCCTGCCGACTGGGTCTGGCCCACGTGGGGCCCGGGCGGCGTCTCCACCCGTATGCCCGACCACCTGCCGCCCGTTCCGGCGCTAGATGACAAGACGATGGTGGGAACGCGCACCATTCTCACTCGCAACCTCATGGTCCAGGAGAGGGAGAACGTGTCCTGGGCAGAGGAATGGAGCACCAACAGCGCTGCTGCTGCTGCCGCCATTGCCGCTTTTGCTGGTGAAGCTGCTGGTGAAGCTGCCTCAGCTGGGGAAACTGCGGATGGGAGCAGTGCTCGCCCGACTGCAGTGGACGTGGCAGCAGCAGGGGCTGGGTTCATGGGGCGAGTGCCGGAGGGCGATGAGGACCGGTACGCGGTGTTTGCTCTGCCGCAGGGGGTGGTGGTGTGCGCGCCCCGCTCGCTGCAGCTCGTGGCGGGCCGGCGGTTTGTGCTGTCGGTGTCGTGGGTGGTGGGAGAGGGGGAGGTGAAAAGGATCACTGCTACGTGGGGGGCTGACGGGGGCTATGAGCGGGTGGAGGGGGAGAGGTACACGCGACAGGGGTGAGGGGCCTTGTGTGTTGTCTGTCCAGTGGGTGGTGGGAGAGGGGGAGGTAAAAAGGATCACTGCTACATGGGGGGCTGATGGGAGCTATGAGCGGGTGGAGGGGGGGAGCAGGTGTGAGGGGCAATGGTGTGCAAGGGGGTGGGGTGGAGGGACAGGTGTATATAGGAGAGTAGGGTGATGGGGAGCGCAGAGGATTGCAGAGGAGTGCGGAGGAGTGGCAGATGGGAACAGCGAGAAAGAGAGTGGGTCAAGGGCAAGCAAACTCCTGGAAGTGTACATTGGTGAATGTAACTTGCCGATGTCAGTGCGTACCAGAATGTGTCATTAGCAAGGAATAGTGTGTAGTTAGTTGCAGTTGCTGTTGCATGTGCCTTTCATTCATGGGCCCTAGAATTTGTCATTTGGTATGGTATCCTCCTTGTGTGCCATGTGACATGTGGTAAGGCCCTCAGATTCGTTTTAGGCCACACTGAACTTTCAGGGTAGGTACTAGGTACTAGGTACACAAAGGCCTTGTGTGCCATGTGACACAAGGAGGATACCTACTTTCAGGGTAGGTACTACTAGGTACTAGGTACACTAGGTAGTACCTAGTACCTACCCAAAGGCACCCTGAACCCCCCCTGAAAATCAGGGTTGGTAGGTACTGTTTTTTTTAACTAGTAAGCCCCGTTTTTCCAGATTCCGACGCTGATTTTTCAGGGTAGGTACAGAAAAACACCCTGAAAATCAGCAAAACCAGGAAAGAAAAATCTACGCGGGCAACACTTTATATGTAAGCAGTGCTGGAATAAGTTAACATGATCAATGATGCAAACGTGTTACACTCGGCTGTCTCTGGCCACCTGTCAAGCAAGGCAGCAAGGGGCAGCTACGCTAGTTATCAACAAGGAGCAAGAGGGAAAGGGGCGTGCAAGGGTTCCAAACTCTAGACAGACCCCATCAGGATAGCAAATTGACAGTATTGAGAGAGGGAAGGCAGGGCAGGGGGGAGGGGGAAGGGGGAAGGGGGAAGGGGGAAGGCGGAAGGGTGGAGGCGGAAGGGGGAAGGGGGGAGGGGAAAGGGGGAGGGGAAGGGCATGGGGTGGAGGAAGGGCTATTCCCACAGGCTGCCTTCAGCAAGTGCAGAGACAAAGTCCTCGCAGTCGTACTTGTCGTGCTCGAACACAAAGAGGTGGTCCAGGTCCCCGTACCCGTCCCCCCCCAGGTACTCCTTGCCCATGCGCGCTACCTCCCCCTCCCCCACTCTCCCCCCCCTTCCATGATGCAGTTGAGTACCTCAAAGGGAAGCAGCCCTCCCTGCTCCCACGTCAGGGAAGGGGAAGGGGAACTCTCTCGGGCTGGGATCACCAGGGAAGGGGGAGGGGAAGGGCACGGGGCGGGGGAAGGGGTATTCCCTCAGGCTGCCTTCAGCGAGCGCAGAAACGAAGTCCTCGCGGTCGTACTTGTCGTGCTCGAACACAAAAAAGTGGTCCAGGTCCTCGTACCCGTCCCCCCCCAGGTACTCCCCGCCCATGCGCGCCACCTCCACCAGATCCACTATGTACGCGTTGCGCTCCCCGTTGCCCCCGCCCCCCCATTCCCCCATATAGGGGGTGCGCTCCCCCTCGCCCTCAACGTCCCCCCATTCCTCCCATTCCCCCCCCCTTCCCCCCTTTCTCCCCTACTTTCTGCCTCCTCCTCTCCTTCCGCCTCCGCTCTTTCCGCCTCTTCTCCTTCCGCTATTCCTTCTTCGCCTTCTGCTCTTCGTTCTCCTCTTGTTCTTCGCTCCCCTCTCACCCTTCCTCCTCTCCCTCTTTTTTCTCCTCCCACTCCTCCTTCTCCTCCCACTCCCCCCCCTCCTCCCACTCCCTCCCCTACGGACCCTCCTGCCTCTCCCCCTCCTGCCTCTCCTCCGCCTGCCCCTCTCTCGTCCCTCCTCGTTCCTCGCCCACACTCCCCTCCTGAACCGACTTCTCCTTTTCCTCCTCGTTTCCCTCTCACCTTTCCTCCGCCACTCCCCCCCCTCCTTCCCCTTCCCGCTCCTGCCCCATCCCCCCCTACAGTACCCCCCCTCCCCTCTGCCTTCGCCACATTCCCCCTAGTCCTTCCCCCCCGCCCACTCCCCCCACTTCCCCCAATCCCTTCACCCTTCCCCGCTCCCTTTCCCCCACCCTTCCCCCCACCCTTCCCCACTCCCTTCCCCACTCCCTTCCCACCACCCTTTCCCACTCCCTTCTCCCAACCCTTCCCCACACTCTCCCCCTTCCCTGCACCCGCCTCAGTCTCCTTCGCAGCAACCTCCTCCACTTCCTCATCCATATCATCCCTTCGTTCCGCCCCCCCTTCCCCCCCTTCCCCCCTTCCCCCCCTTCCCCCCAAACCCCGCCTCCCTCTTCTTTCTCCCCCACCCCTTCTCCAACCCTCTTACCCTTCCACCCCTTTGCTTCTTCCCCAACCTTCCCTTCCCCAACCTCCCCTTCCCCCTCCCCTTCCCCTTCCGCTTCCCCTTCCCCCGCCCCTTCCCCCTCCATCTCCACCGCCTGCCGCCTTCCCAGGGTGCGCCCAAGCCCCTTTTCTGGTTCCACCGTCTTCAGAGTTGCCCTGTTACGCAGTAACCTGGTAACCCTGCCCTGCCCTCTCTGCTCACGCTGCTTGCTCTGCCCTCCCTGCCCACCCTTCTTGCTGTGTCCTCCCCCCATCCAACTCTCCTTCCCCACTTCCCTTTCCTCCTCCCCCTGCTTACTATCCTCCTCCCCCTGCTTGCTCTCCTTACTCACCCCTTCTCCCTTCCGCTCTTCCATCACCACTCCCTCTACCACTCCCTCTACCACTCCCTCTACCGCTCCCTCTACCGCTCCCTCCACCGCTCCCTCCACCGCTCCCTCCACCGCTCCCTCCCTACCATCGTCCCCCCCGATCCCTGCGCCCCCCCCATTCACCTCCACCCTCCCAATCAACTCTACCTCCCCATTGACTTCCACCCCCTTGTGCACCTCCACCTCTACAACCATATCTTCCTCCTCTCTCTCCCCCTTCTCGTCCTCCTCCGTCTCCTCCTCCTCCTCCTCCCTCTCCCCCTCCTCCTCCCTCTCCTCCTCCTCCTCCCTCTTCTCTCTCTCCCCCCCCTCCTCGGTTAGATCCACCACCACCGCATCGCATTCCGCCTTCCCCGCCTCTCCTGTGCTTTCACCTTCCGCCTTTCTCGTATCCGCCTTCCCACAATCCACCTTCCCCCCATCCGCCCTCCCCCTCCCCGCATCCGCCTTCCCTGCAGCCACCTTACCCGCATCCATCTTCCCCGCGAGGAGTTGACGGGGGCCCACACAAGCGGGGGATCCCCTCCGCGGATCAGCAGCCTTTCCCTCCGATTCGTTCCCTGCCTCCGCCTCCGCTTCCTTTCCCCCCTCCCTCTCCGCCTCCACCCCCCCGAAACCCCCAAACTTCACCACAAGCACTGGCTTCCCCATCTCCGCCGCCTTCCCCATCTCCGCCGCCTTCCCCATCTTCGCCGCCTTCCCCACCTCCGCCGCCTGCTGCTGCCGGCGCAGACACCGCCTCCGTCCCCCGGCTCCCAACGCCATCAGCAACGACGACGAGTGCAGCATGCGCAGCTCCCTGGCCTGCTTCCGCGCGCCTCCCATCTCCTGAAGCCCCATCTTCCCTTCCGGGCCTGACCGCTTGCCCAACCCTTCCGCCATTTCCTCCGCCTCTACCGCCACTACCGCCTCTACCGCCGCGTTTTTAGGCGCCTCATAGTGAACCTCTTTGCAAACTGCACGCTCCACCTCCTCCGCCTCCTCCGCCTCTTCCGCCTTCTCCGCCTTTACTGCCTCCTCCGTCTCTAACGCCGCACCTGCCCGCTCCACCTCCTCCGCTTGTACCACTTCCTCCGCCTCTACCGCCTCTACCGTCTCTACCACTTCCCCCAGCACCACTTTCAACTCTGATTTACCCCAAGCCTCCGCCTCCGCTTCCTCTCGCCCACCCTCCGCTTCCTCGCGCTCCTTGCCCGTTTCCTCGCGCTCCTTGTCCGCTTCCTTGCGCTCCCTCTCCGCTTTCTCACGCTCCGTCTCCCAGTCACTGCCTCCCGCCACCGATACGTCACGAGTTGATACCTTCCCCTTTCCCTTCCTTCCCAGCCCCTTCCTCACTTCCTTACCCACCCACTCCATCCTTACTTCTCCCCCCCCACTACTTCCTCCAGCACCGCTTCCCACTCCTCCAACTTCTCTCCCTTCCGTTGCCTTCCTTCTCCCAGCGCGAGTTATTCTCGCCGTTTCGGGTCCTCCCGCCATCTCCCTCATCTCCGCTGTAAACTCACTCGTTATTAACAACGAGTACGAGTGTAGCATGCGCAACTCCGTCGCCTGTTTCCTCGGTTCTTCCAAAGGCACAAGGGCTAACGGAGTGATCTCAACTCGCGGCTCGTCTTCAACATCCATGTTTTCGGAACCCTTTAATTCAGAACCCGCCGGGGCTTCGTAAACCATTAGGGCTTTTCCACTATCCGCGTCCTCATTATTAGCTCCGCTCGCGACGTTCTGCTTCTTGAAGGATTTTCCTCTTTCTTCTTCAGAAACCCGCTTCTTCTTGCGCGCATATACACGCCGCGACTCCCTCTGCGCTTTCGAGACGCTCCCAATGTCGATTTCCGCAGCCGCTTCGGCCGGCGCGGGCACTGGTATCGCCATCTCGTTGATCGCACGCTTCCCAACAATAACCGTCGTTCGCTTTCCCATCGAGATTGCGCGCGGCTGGACTTTTCCCGCACGTAAGGCCGCTTTCTTGCCTCACTATTGACTTCCAACTTTGTAAGAAAAGAACAAAATCCCCTTATATCCTTCTCGACGGGTTCAACGGGTGCGTGAAACCCCAGACACGGGAGGGTTCTAAGTAATGATCGATGGTGTTACGTCCCTAAGCTGCAAGATTCAGGAGAAGACTGCGGAAAGACTGCCTGTCGTGATCAATACACGGGGACATCGAGATTGGTTCAATGCTTTGCCGTCCCTTCCCTCGCGTTATTCTGCTGTGTATGTTGTGATAAGGGCGTGTCCTAAGAGTACGTCCGAATGCGGTTGAGTGAGGTGAATTGCGTTTCAAAAATATCAAATACCTCTGGAACACGGTTCGGTAGGGTATTGGGAAAAAAATGAACACTTAGGGCCTACACGTTCGGTTCTCGAGTTGCGTTCTATATGCTTCGCTCGCTGCTTCAATCTAGTGTTTTCGTGAGGTTTGGTTGGTTGAAGCGCGCCGCATGTCCCTCGATTTTTGTTCCGCGCGACTCGATGGTCGAAGCTGTGGTGGAGCATTCGTGCCACGTGTCTACGAGTTTTGTACGCTTTATGGTCTACGGTTTAGTCTTGTATAAAACGGAGTAGAGGAATGGTTTCAGGAAAATACGTAAGGAGTCGTAAAGCTGTTTTGTTTTGGCGTCATTGTCGGTGGGTTGAGCAGGGCTATCGCTGGGACCATTCTCGTCAGCTTCTCTCTAGCGCACGTCAGCACGGACCACCCTTGACATGTGCCTGGGACAAACACACCTTATCTGACGTGGAACTGAAACTGCCAGAACCAACATCAAGGAACGACATTGCATCGCCTATCACCACCTTTCTTTCATTCTCCGTCTTTCATTTCCAGCTTCAGTAAGCTTCCGTTCCGAGCTGGACCGAATTTCTTAGCTTACCAGCTGCTTTCGCCCGCACACACGAGGTTGCCTAGGCGTCCTTTCCCTTGGTCGTAACTTTCTTTCGGTTACTGCGAATCGGACCGCAAGTAATGGCGACGCCAAAGGTTAAGCTCAACGTGGGCTTTGATGGGGTGGCTGTCATCGAAATTCACAACCCTCCTGTGAATGCTCTCGCACCTGAAGGTATCAATGCATCGCTGCTCCTAAATTGGATCTCACTTCCTACAGTCAAAGCTTCGACTTAAGCTTTCTAAGTTGTCTTCCGTATTCATCTTCTGAACTTTAACTTCACGCTCTTGACTGCAGTTTTACTCGGACTGAAGGTGTCGTTTGACGAGGCGCATCGGAGGAGCGACGTGAAAGCCATCGTTGTAACTGGTAAACCACGACCCGGTACCTGCTGTCAGGCTCCGTCTCCAGACATATGAATCCCCCCAGTCGATCCTTTACATCCTTAGCAACAGCTCGCCCTGATTTTCTTTCGTTACTGCTATTGCAGGAACCAATGGCAAGTTTTCAGGTGGCTTCGACATTTCGGCGATCGTCGCAGTTCAGGAACAAGGTGGCGCTGATCTTTCCGTCAATTTTCTTGCACTGTAGCGTTGAACGTTCAAGAACCGTAGCTGATATGTTTCGACTTTTTAAACTTTGGCTGTCCCCATTACAGGGAATATGGACTCTATGGTTAGGCCGTCAGTCCCGCTCTTCGTGGAAACCATTGAAGGTATTGCACATTCCAGCATTTAATCCTCGGGGGAGTTCTCATCGATTCTGACACACGACAATCTTGCATTGCAGGTGGCTCGAAGCCAGTTGTGGCGGCTGTTGAGGGTCTTGCTCTAGGCGGTGGTTTGGAGCTTGCTCTGGTACGCACATCACAATTCCTTAGTAGCTTGCTCCAGAATGCGTATGCATGTCTCCAACTAAGCACGCACGACTACTCGACTCGTTCCTGGACCTCATGATTGTTTTGTTTCTTCGTTCTTGTTGATGTCAGTCCTGCCATGCAAGAATCGCTGCACCTAAGGCCCAGCTGGGGCTTCCGGAACTGCAGCTCGGCATCATTCCTGGATTTGGAGGTACTGAACTACGACCGTTAGGATAAACATGCGTTTGAGAGGATTTGTATGCCTCCTCAGGTTGGTGGTGACCCGTTCCTGACATCTTGCTTGGCTGTGTTGGCCCCGTCCAGGCACTCAGCGTTTGCCTCGCCTGGTTGGCCTACAGAAGGCGATAGAAATGATCCTGGTGAGTCTCTTCCGCATACTGTCTCGTTAGAAGTGGTCCGGTTTATTCCCCTGTTTTGTCGTTCTAACGCGTTTGTGTTTCCCCCTTTTTCGTTCCAGATGTCCAAGCCGATTACCTCCGAAGCGGGACTCAAAGCTGGTCTGGTCGATCAGATCGTTCCCAGCAATGCGCTGCTGGCCACCGCCAAGGCGTGGGCCCTGGATATCGCTAGCGGCAGGAAGCCGTGGCTGAAGACGCTTGAGAGGAACGATAGGATCGAGAGCCTTGGCGAGGCTCGAGCTATCTTCAAGTTTGCAAGGGCTCAGGCGGTTCAGACGGCTCCTAATCTCACGCATCCGCTGCGGTGCTTGGATGCCATGGAGTATGGCGTGACACATGGAGGGTATGCTGGCAATCTCAAGGTACGTGTTGAAATTTCTCTAAAATAAAAGTAATCACGTGTTGCTGTTCATCACCATCTCTTGACCTGAGAGAGATTGCATCTCGTTTACCATCTCGTAAACGTGAAGTTCCGTTTGAATCCTTGTGTTGCTTGCAGGAAGAGGAGGTCTTTTTGGAACTTGTTCTTGCTGACACTGCCAAGTCCCTGACGCATATCTTCTTTGCCCAGCGACAAACGACCAAGGTATGTTACGGGTACAACAGCTTTGATGTAAATGAGTGAACAATGTTTCACTTCACCAGTTTCAGTTACTTACACCAAAGGTCAAAAGCGTTGGGAATCAGGGGTACAAATTAGCGTTTCAGGAGCGGAGCTGAATGACTGATCTAATCACTGAATTTGTGCATTCAGGTTCCCGGAGTCACTGATCGGGGTTTGAAGCCACGGCCCATTCGCAAGGTGGCAGTGATTGGAGGGGGTTGATGGGTTCTGGAATCGTCACCGCGCTCATCACGGCTAAGATCCAAGTCGTCCTCAAGGAGGTCAACGAGCAGTTTCTGCAGCAAGGATTGGACCGCGTGAAGGGTGAGCATGTTGTGTCCACTTTTCCACTTGATTTCTAAAGGCAGAGTTGCTTCAAATGTAGAATCAATAAAGTCATCCCCTAGGAGGTCAACGTGCAGTTCCTGCAGAAAGGATTTGACCGTGTCAAGGGTGAGTTTTGAGTTGTCACATAGGGGACCTCAGTCTTGAGTTGACTCAAGATTCGCCTAGATCCAAGTCATCCTCATGGAGGTTAACGCCCAGTTCCTGCAGCAAGGATTGGACCGTGTGTCAAGGGTATGCGTGTTAACGTGTCCGCACATTCTCTAGATTTTTTAGGAGCCTGAAATGTAGATTATTGTCATTTTCACGTCTCCGGGTTGCTCCAGCGAGGAATGGAGCGTGTCAAGGGTGAGCGATGTTGTGTCCCACTCTTGTTCTGGCCTGGTACATTCATCCTCCGGTGCCGTCTGCTGTTTAAGATCCGGTGCGTGATGGATTGATTAAGATTGATGTTGTCGATGATAATGACTCCTAGCATGTCCTCCTTTGTTCCTTGTGGCAGCCAATTTCCAAGGCAGGCTGAAGAAGGGAAGATTGACCCAGGATCAAGTGGATAAGATTCTGTCCCTCCTCAAAGGAACACTCTCCTACGACGATTTTGCTGACGTGGATCTGGTTATCGAGGTGAGACAGAGAAAAGCTCAGAACTCCAATATTAACACTTCTGCTGCACTAATCGGCAATGTTCGTCATCATACAGCTTACATTTCCAAATGTGCTGCTTTTACATGCACGTCTTGTGTAATGCAGGCTGTAATCGAGAGCATTCCGCTGAAGCAGCAGATTTTCCAGGACCTGGAGAGGGTGTGCAATCCTGCATGCATCCTCTCTTCCAACACGTCCACCATCGACCTCAACGTCGTGGGAGCCAAGACCCGCTCCCAAGACCGCATCATTGGCGCACACTTCTTCAGGTAAGTGATAACTGCGTCAATGAGAGAACAATTATAGTTTGGTTAGTCCCAAGATGTGAGTGCCATTCCTCTCCCCCCCCTCCCTCCCTCCTCCCCGCCCCAGCCACGTCCTTTCATTGTTGCAGCTCTGCCCATGGGATGCCCCAGCTAGAGGTGGTCTGCATAGGCAGGACCCCTCCCCTAAATCCGTATTGAACCTCAGCACGCCCTGCCTTCAGTACACATTGCTCGTTCTCCTACTCTTTTTCACGTTTGAATGCTTGCTTGCAGCCCTGCCCATGTGATGCCGCTGCTGGAGGTGGTCCGCACGGACAGGACTTCCCCTCAGGCCATCCTGGACCTCATTACCCTTGGAAAAACCATCAAGAAGACGCCGGTCGTGGTGGGAAACTGCACGGGTTTCGCTGTCAACCGTGTCTTCTTCCCCTACACCATGGCGGCGTGCCTGCTGGTGGACCTGGGAGTGGACCTCTACCGCATTGACCGGGTCATCAAGGCCTTTGGAATGCCCATGGGGCCTTTTAGGTGAGTCTGGGGCCATTGTGTTCTGGGCCTTCTTGTTTAAAGAATGTGAGGCTGTCAACCGCGTCTTCTTCCCCGACACCATGGTGGCGTGCCTTCTTGTCGACCTGGGATTGGACCTCTACTGCGTTGACCGGGCCATCAAGGCCTTTGGCATGCCCATGGGGCCGTTCAGGTACCTGCCCCTTGCCAGTGGCACCAAGTTCTTTCATAGATGTAACTACGTGCATGTCAACCACGTGTCCTTCCCCTACACCATGACGGCGTGCCTGCTCATGCAACTGGGTGTCGATCTCTACTGCATTGACCGGGTCATCAAGGCCTTCGGCATGCCCATGGGGCTGTTCAGGTTCCTTTGCCTCACCTGTGCCACCTAGTTTTCCTGTACATGTAAGATCATCAACCCGGGTAAGGCTGTCAATCGGTAAGGCTGTCAACTGCGTCTTCTTTCCCCACACCATGGCGGCTTGTCTGCTGGTGGACCTGCAAGTTGATCTCTACCACATTGACCGGGTCATCGACATGGCTCGCCGTTTGCTTCTTATCCTAAACCTCGAATTCATCCTTGGACGATCGTTGTTCCCTTAGACGATCCTTGGGATTGCGCTCATTCATCCCCTGTCTGCTTCTCTGTATTCTTGCTTGTTTCTCTGATGGTGCTTTGCTGCAGGCTGGCTGATCTGGTGGGAATGCAGGTGGGGCAGGCAGTGGGGACTCAGTTCGTCACTGCTTTCCCTGAGCGGGCCTACAAGGCTGCTCTCATCCCCCTTCTGGTCGAGGCTAAACGCTTCGGTAAGGCTTCCTGCATACCTGTTTCCTGAGTTTTTTTCTTCCTTTCGAAAGCTTCCTTCGAGGCTTCGTGCATGCTTGTGCTGTATTCTGTCATAACTGACCCCATAAGTAGCAATATATGGGAAGCACAAATGATGCTTTTTTGTCCCTTTTTTTTGTTTCTGTTTTTTTTTACTTCTTCACCGTATTTCTTCATTACATGTATGTGTGCATGAGCAGGGGAGAAGTCAGGCAAGGGCTTCTACCTCTACGACAGCAAGAGGCGCCAGCGCCCTGACCCTGCAATCAAGGAGTTTGTGGAGCAGGCCGGGAAGTACAACAACATCAAGCCGGGCGGCAAGCCCGTTACCCTATCTGACAAGGACATTGTGGAGATGATCTTCTTCACCGTGGTGAACGAGGCATGCCGCGTGCTGGACGAGAGCATCGTGGTGCGCGCCTCGGACCTCGACATCGCCACTGTCATGTCCATGGGCTTCCCGCCCTACCGGTGAGAGGCACGAGTGAAGGTATTCTCTTTTGGTAAGTGGTATCGAGGCGTGCCGTGTGCTGGACGAGAGCATTGTGGTGTGCGCCTCTGATCTGGAGGTCGCCACTGTCATGTCCATCGGCTTCCCGCCCTACAGGCGAGTGTAAGCCATGAGCTTCCCACCCTACCAGTGAGTGTAAGCCATGAGCTTCCCACCGGCTTGCCACCCTACCGGTGAGTGTCAGCCATGGGCTTGCCACCCTACCGGTGAGTGTAAGCCGAGGGCTTCCCACCCTACCGGTGAGTGCAAGCCGTGGGCTTCCCACCCTACCGATTAGTGTAAGCCGTGGGCTTCCCACCCAACCGGTGAGTGTAAGCCGTGGGCTTCCCACCCTACCGGTGAGTGTAAGCCGTGGGCTTCCCACCCTACCGGTGAGTGTAAGCCGTGGGCTTCCCATCCTACAGGTGAGTGTAAGCCGTGGGCTTCCCACCCAACCGGTGAGTGTAAGCCGTGGGCTTCCCCTCCTACTGGTGTTTGGATGGGCCTGCATGGTTGCAGACATGCATTTTTGGTCTGTTATCGTGGGCGTCCGATGTCCCTGCTTGGGACATCTCTTTCATCCAGTTGTTCAGTTCATATGCAGCAATGCTCAACTTTGGGACACCCTTTCTTCTGTATGTTTCTGCTGTTTCCCTCTCTCTTTGCAGGGGTGGCCTGGTCTTTTGGGCTGACCTGATTGGGGCGAAGTACATTGCGGATCGGCTCACCACATGGTCACAGGCATATGGAGGCTTCTTCAAGCCATGCAACTACCTGCTTGAGCGGTCAGCTCGAGGGATCAAGCTGGTGAGTGGATAACTGGTGGCGTATTCACTCACCCTTCCTAGAACCCTACCCTGAGCTAGGATGTCTTTGCATTGTTGGGTGCATGGGTAGAGCCGAGTTACTTTTGGGTGGGTCAGTGTATGATTGGAAGTAACTTGCATCTTGTTCGTGCATCTTGCAGGGAGCACCGAAGCAAGCATCTTCCATGGCAAAGCTTTGAGTGATTTGCTTCATGGTGGTTGCAACTTGCACATCTGCTGTTAGTCTTCAGTTCAGTGCTTGAAGTTGGCAGGCAGCGAGAGATTTTACGTTGTTCTCTAGTGTACTGTTCGTAATTTGTGGTAGGCAAAATATTGCGGTGGTGTAGAGCATGAAGGGACGTCAAAGATTATATTGCATATTGAATGTGTAATAGAGGAACTTGTAGTGGTGCTGCATACGTCGACCAAATTGCTTGTCCAAAGCTTTCTCACAGGCACAAGCGCGGACAGCTGCAGCTGAAGCAAATGTTTGTAGCCCCCGTCGCTGACGGTCAGACGAAGCCATGCGCGATAACCGGCACCCATCGTCAGCCAACCGTCAGTGAAGCCCGCCAGTCGCGCACTTCCGCACCAGCGGTCTCAGGATTCGCGTCACTAAAGACCCTGAAAATTCAGCATTCCCTGGAAAATCTCTCTTTATTTCAGGATTACTTTCACCTTTCAATCTGAAATTCAGAGTGTTTTTTGGGACTCCCTACATATCAGCGGAACCTGTGGGCACTTCGAGTACAAGCAGGAAGGACATCGATGGAAGAAACGATGAAGAATAAACACAGTTGCTGCTGCTGCTGTCCCTCACCACTACACCAAGTTCGACACTTACCTTAGTCGCGACAGAAATGCGTACAGCTTAGAGGGACAGTGCGGAACCAGGCTAAGGTTATAGTCTGACCGCTGCTAATCTGTAGTTGTGAAAGTTCCACGGGTCGCACCTTAAGATTGTGTGGAAAATTGGTCAGGGTTGTGAAGGAATGGGGGGGGGGGGGGTGGTGGTAGGGAAGGGTTGCAATTTCCAGCACAGGTAGTTTCCATGCCAGTCGGATTGCCAAGATAGATTTTCGCGCAATCCGGATGGCTCGGGGAGTTCCTTGGAAACGCCCGGAATCAGTCAGAATGTTTGTGAGTCCGAAACCCTCAAAATCAGGATTTCAGCGGGAAAGACCCGGAATGTACCTGACATTCCGGATGTTTGCCCTTGAACCGAGAGCCCTGTTCCACACCACACCACTTCTGCACTTCCACCTCCACCACACCACCAGGATTCAGCTGGTTGTCAGGTGGTTGGTGCGGAAACCTTGCTGCCATATAACTCATTTCAGGGTGCTGGACGTTGCGGTAAGATACAGTGTGTTGAATTGTGGTGATACACGGTGGCTAACCCAGTTCCAGGTAAGTAGCCACTCGAGAGTTGTGACTGAAGCTGATCGTGAACCAAATGCCCCTCAGTTTTGGCTATGCTTCTGCCTGTTTTGACTGAAGTAACAAACAACCTGGCAGCTAGGGTTTCCACTCGCAGTAAGCAGCCTCCGAATCTTCGTTCACCTCTTCTGGTTCTTGTCCACTCTAGTCCTGGCTTCTTCAAAGACGTTTGTCGCTGCTTTCGCTCTATCGTATATATTGTCACGCCTAACCGCCTCCAGCGTACATACTCTCACGCCTAACAGCCTCCCAGTTGTCCAGACGTGCCATCAGATACTTCTCATCTGTAAATAGCTGCCGTCTAAGGTTCTTAGGCTTTCGATATTCGTTTCTGTAGCCTTCTTTTCCTCTCGGCTCCATTAGGGTTAGTAGCAGCAGCAGCAGCAGCAGCATGGCTCACTTTGCGGACCCATGGGTCAGAGACTTCTCGGATGCTTCCAGGATGGCGGATGACGTGGCAGGACTCATTCAGGAAAGAAACGACGCGATAAAATCCAAAGGGGACCCATCGCGTCTAGTCGCTGCAGCTCGGCGGAAGATTGCGATGCTTATGGCGAAATCGGACCGGCTAGAAACGGGGCTTCGAGCCGCAGCAGAGAAGTCGCAACTGTGAGCTCCTCGTGGCCGCTAGCTTTAAGATGACGAGGTGACTTTTGAGTCGACTCAAAAGTCAACTGCGAGCTCCTCGTAGCCGGTAGTTTTAAGATGACTGTCAGGGAGGTTAAGCGGACACGCGTGAACTACTTACCCGGTTGAGTTGACAGGTGCTAGCGGGCAGTTACAAAGCTTGAGTGCTTTCACGTTGTAGTAACACTGGTGCTAGTTAGTCGACTTGAAAAGGATTTCCTGCTTTTTTACGTCCCGTCCCTGCACTCGCTCTCTCTCCCACTTGACCCTGCAGCAACGCCACGGAGGTAAGGCGACGGGAAGACCTCCTTCTCGCTCTTCGGTTCAAGGCGAAGGAGATGGCAGCCGTGCTCACCTCCGCGCAATCCGCCGCTAACAGGTTCGTCGTCCCCTTGATTCATCCCTATTGCATGGTTCGTTCATGTCACTCATCCCGAAGGACATGGCAGCTGTTCAAACGGTCCGCTGCTTGACGGGAGTGGAGTTTCAAACAGTCTGCTGCGCTTTCTCTTCCCACGTTCTTCAGGTCCGCCCTGCTTGGCCGAGACGGGCGGCCGTTGGTGGCGGTGGAGACGGAGAGAACAGCCTCACGGGATAACAGGGGTCTCGTGGCTCTGCAGCAAGAGATCATACAAGGTATGGTGCTGATCGCTTGCTCTCCTGCTGTGGCCTTCTTTCCAGTCGAAGGGCTCACTGGCTTTTTTTCCTTCCATGGTTCTTGCCTGGCACGGGTCCTAACTCCTTCCAGTTGTGTAGACCGACCTTCCTTCGTTAAATGCTGTAGTAATGTCTTTCCCTTTTTTCTTAAGTCTTCTCTCTGCTTTATTTTATTGCCTTTCACCTGCCACGCCATGCCATGCCATGCCATGCCATGCCATGCCATCGTGAGCAGAGCAAGACTCTGAGCTGGAGGAGCTGGAGTCGACGGTGGCAACCACCAAGCACATCGCTCTGACCATCAATGGGGAGCTGGATTTACACCGACATTTGCTGGTATGTGCTGGTTGTGCGAGCGTCTGAGGACGTTTGCTGGGGTGTGCTGGTTTACTTGATCGATTCCCCTTTCCCTGTTGAGCACCGGAATCACCTGTGTTCACAGAGGCAGTAACTAGGTGAATTTTGAGTCACCTAAAAAAGGGCCGGAATCGCCTGTGTTCTCTGTGATAGTATGCAGTCGTGGTGGTTTGACTGGAGCTCGTTTCTTGTGCTGGAAATACTGATTGTACTTGGCTTGCATTTTGCCCGTGCAGGATGATTTGGATGACAACCTCCAGTCAACAAATGCTCGTGTGCAGGTGGGTTTTTCCTTGTGCATATTTCACAGCCTGCCCCCCCCTCCCCCGCACCCCCCCCCCCCCCCCCCCCCTCTCTCTCTCTCTCTCTCTCTCTCTCTCTCTCTCTCTCTCTCTCTCTCTCTCTCTCTCTCTCTCTCTCTCTCCCTCCCTCCCTCCCTCCCCTCTCTTGCTCCCTCCCTCTCTCACCCTGCCTTATCCCTCCCTCTCACAATTTTCACTACAATTCTAGGAACTGATTCAGGTACATGCCTAAAGTCTCTCGATCCCACCTTTTCCCCTCCATTGTCACATCACAGTTGGCCAAGAAGAAGATGTCCATATTCATGCGCCGATCAGACAACACATGCAACATGCTCCTTGTCATGATGCTTGCGGCTGGGCTTGTCTTCGTCGCTCTTGTAATGTACTCCATCCTCAAGATTGTTCTGTGACATGAGACTTGTCAAGGATTTCGGGGTTTACTAACTATTTTATGCCGAGCTACCATTGTACAGTGAAGGGGCTTTTCATGTAAAAAACCATTTTAGTAGCATCTATAATTGAGATATGGATGGACCTATAAGAAGTTTGTCTTTCTGAGACAGCAGTCAGTAACGGAACTTATGGGATGTTTGTAGTCGAGTCGACCTGTGGTGGTCAAGGGTGTCTACGGTTTCCCTAGGGATGCATGCCATAGTCCGTAGAATAAGTGAGGCGTCACATGTCATTCTCCGCAGATGTCTGCTTGAACGACTCTGGACATGGCGAATCGGGACTTCCTGGCATGGCAAGTGTCAGACCAAATTTCTAAGGGCGTCATATGAGTTCATTTTAGCACGGTTGAGTACGCTTCTGAACGTTTTGGAGCTAGTACAAAATATTTCACTACGGTCTGGTAGGGGTAAGATGAACCCTTGTGACAACGCCGTAAAAGCCGTCCAATGAACGGTTCTCCGTGCTCCATTTGTGGTCCCCCACCACCCCCCCCCCTCCTCCCCTCCCCCACTCCCCCCTTCCTTCCCCACCCCTTCGTGCGCGAGGGGAAGTCAAGGATAGTCGTCGTTTACACTCCCGCCTAAACAAACGCAGTTGTTTGGCCCATGTCGTTACTGGGTGGTCGACGGTTTAGTACGGCTCTACGTTTTATAGTGTGGTCAAAAGGTAATTCATCCTAGTCACCCTTGTCTGTGACAGCTTTGAACCTGCCAAATGGTTGTCCCAGCCTGTACCCATGAAACTCCTTACACCTGGCCCGCTGTAATTTTAGAGATTGAAAATGAGCGGCAGTAAACGTTTCGACTCTGCCCTGACCTTTTCTGGGTCCGCAGAGAGCATTCCCGTGTTCACGGTGGGCTCGAGCCAGCGGCTCGCAGTCTCGACACGGAAGGCTCGGGTCAACAAGTAGATGACTGATGACTTCTGAGAAAACACTAAGAGATGGGAGAAGAGACGCGGCAAACAATGGTAGTCTAGAAATCCAAGCATGCCGTTTTTTCCAGGGGTTGCGAGACCCGCCTCTTTCGGAGGGTGACAGCCCTTCGGCGAAACGGCGGGTGAAAATACTAAGTGTGAAATTAGAGCGGGCCAGGTGTACCGTACCATACGAGACCATTCACGGTGGCAGGGAGGGGGGTGGGGGGAAGGAGGACCCGTACCGTACTATACCACTCATGATCCCCCTCGTGTCGCAAGATAACTCGCTGTTGCGGTTCAGTGCGCTGCTTTGCGTTTTAGAGCGATTTAAAAAACAGCGAAAACGGTAAACCGACTACTGTATTGTGACACACCCCTAACAGCAGCTGACAGGAAACTCGACTAGTCTAGCAGCTGCACGACACGGCGGCAACCGTGCAGTGCGCAACACTCTGCGCTGCTCCTCTCTTTCTCTTCCCCTCACCTCCCCTCCAGTCTCTCCTCCCTCATGCTAGCAAGCTCCCCCCTGTTCCCTGGGCCCCGACGACCCGATGTCCCAGCAAACCTGGCCCCGTCAGTCTCTGTTCATTCATAACCAGCAGTTGACTCCTAGCTGAGTCACCTTCAAGAGGGCTGCATGTAGCAATTGTTCTCACTCCTAACGAGCCGCCGCGGGAACGCTTTCCGCTGATATTAGAGACTACTTTTTTAGCCGCCTCCAAAAGTAGCAGAAACTCGCCCAGCGGCATCGTCCGTCGATAAACCTAAGGCGCTTGCTCTCCTGCTGATAGCCCTGCTCGTCCGCTTCCGCGCTTCGAAACCCTAGATTCTTCTTAGCATTGCTCTCACTATATAACCTAATTAACGCTCCCAATCATGGCGGCTCGGGACGCAGCGCCTGAGTGCGAGGGCGTGCCGATTACTCTCCCCAATTCCGCGCATCGTCGAGGGAACCTTCTCAGCATGTTCAGCCCGCGAATCGGCGCGAGCCCGGGTCTCGTGGGCTTCACCCCGCGCTTCGAGGTCGGCGCGCGGCTCGGCGAAGGCTCCTACGGCGTCGTTAACGTGTGCCGCGAGAAGGCCGTTTTGACACGTCAGCTCTCGCGACAACCCAGCTACGGCGCTAGCAATCTTCGCCCAAATACCGGAGGCTCCGCCGCCGCCGCTGCCGCCGCCGCCGTCGCCGCCGTCGCAGGTGGCAGACCTGCCGCCGAGACCGCCGCAAACGGCGCCGCGAATGGCGGCGCTGCCGGCGGAGGGGGCGGCGACAGCGATGAGGAGGAGATCGGAGGGCCAGACGTCGCGCGCCCGCATATCTGCGCGAGCGTGGAGCGCGTGGAAGAGACGGAGGCGGCGTTTCTCGCGGCGCAAAACGCGGCGGCCGGCGGCGCGGAAGGGAAATTAGTACCAAAGGCGGCCGGCACGGAGCCGCCGGTGCCGGCCGCGGGGAGGATGTACGCGTGTAAGACGGTGGATAAGGTTCTTAGCGAGGATGGCGGTGTGAGCCAGAAGAAATTGTCGACGCGCGAATTGGAGGTGCGAGTTAACGCGCTCAAGCACGAAATTAAGGTGCTGAAACACGTGGGGTATCATCCGAACATTGTAGCGGTTGTCGGGGTGTACAATAACGAGAAGCGGCTGCGACTCGTTATGGAGCTCTGCGACGCCGGGGACCTGCTGGGGCTTTTAACGAATCCTCCCAAGAAGCCGGTAGCTAAAAACGCGGATGTTAATGGGGACGGAGGTGCGAATAAGGAGGGTGATTCTAACAAAGGATCGGGAGGCAACGAGACGAAGCCGGAACACCACCGGGGGAAATCTCTCATAAAGATATCGCAATTCTTCAAAGGGTTGGCTAAGGGGACGGCCGATGCGAAACCAGCAGAAGCAGCAGGTGCTAATTACGCGGATGGCAGCAGCAGCGCAGCGAAGCAACCCGAAACGGTGCTGCAAACGGGGCTATCGGAGAGGCAGACGGCGCTGATGTTCCGGCAGCTGGTGAAAGCGGTGGAGCACTGCCACTCCAGACAGGTGATCCACCGTGACATCAAGCTAGAGAACGTTCTGCTGAACAACTGCCACTGCAGCAAATGCAAGGCTGGAGCAGGAGCGGGAGAGCAGGAGAGTACGAAACAGCAGCAGCAGCAGCAGCAGCAGCAGCAGCAGCAGCAGCAGCAGCAGCAGCAGGGGCAGCAGGGGCAGCAGCAGGTGGATCAGCAGCAGAGGGCCGAGCCCTCTACTTGCTCCGGTTACGCCGTAAAGCTCGCAGATTTCGGGCTGGCGAAACTGCTGCAGCCGACCCAACTAATGGCGATGGGCAACAAGGGCAGCCAGCTGTACAAAGCGCCCGAGGTGGCGCAGGGCCGGTGGTATACCACCCAGGCAGACATGTGGTCCCTGGGCGTGGTACTCTACGCTTTGCTAAGTGCCAGGTTTCCGCCCCGGGATGGGGAGGGCATGGTGGCTTGGGACGCGGTTTCGGACCCGAGGTTGTTGTTTAAGGGGGCAAGCTGGAAGGCTGTAAGTGCGGAGGCAAAGGCGCTGGTGAGCATGCTGCTGTCGTGGGATTCGAAGCAGCGGCCGAATTGCGGGGAGATTTATGAACACCCGTGGCTCGTGCAGCACTGTAGATGAGAGGGGAGAGGGGAGAGGGGAGAGGAGGGAATGCGTGTTGTTGGGGGTGGGGGGGGAAGCTGGAAGGGCGTGAGTGTGGAGGCAAAGGCGCTAGTGAGCATGCTGCTGTCGTGGGAGTCGAAGCAGCGGCCGAATTGTGGGGAGGTGTTTGACCATCCCTGGCTGGTGCAGCACTGCAGATGAGAGGGTAGAAGGGAGGAGATGGCAGAGAGTGCTGGATGGCCAGTGGCAAAGTGGAGTGCAGATGGGTGGAGGGTGGAGAGCGAGAGGAGTTTGAGATGGAAGCAGAACGAGTAGTCGCCTGACTCGCCTCTGAAGATGGAATGCGGAGGGAGGAGTGGGAGAGTGGGGGTTGGGGGGTGGAGGGTGGAGAGTGGAGGTGGGAGATTTGAGACAGGCGAGGTTTACAGTTTTCTCAGAAGGTCTGTGCGCTGGCCAGACTCCACTGGAGAGGGTACAGGAGCAATGGTACAAACCTGTTGGTAGGTAAATGGGTTGTACTGACACCACAAGCACAGAGGAGCATTGTTGATTTGACACCATAAGCAGGAGCAGACTTAGCTTTCTGCCTCCTCCCCCTCATTCTGTTTTGTGCAATGCCCATGGTGGTGGGTGCTGAAATCCGCACTTGCGTTGAGCGCTGAGTCTCTGACCTTCGTCACCCTTCAGCAGTTCTACACAACATTCCGTAATAGCCCGGGGTCTTCTATGTTGGGCTGAGAAATGCCCTTAGGATCTTTCCAGAGACTAAGTCCCAGTCGTAGAATGAGGCTTTGAGTAGTGCAGCGGAAGTTGAGGCAGTTGAACCCTTGTACTAGTATATGAGAACAAGTGATTAATTAAAGAAACAAGCATACAGCAATATATAGAAGATAGGAAGGCAGTTGTAGAATACAGTTACAGGAACGGTTTATCGAGTCGCACAGCGACTCGATTGCCGCTTCGGTTACCATCCGTGATGTTGTAACGGTCAGTCGCAACCTCCAGTTGCGACCTTTCGAGTCTTTTCGCATTCTTTGTCCGCCCCTCGTGTAACCTCCGTTGACTCGCGTGCTCCCCTGTAATCTTCCTCGAGTACAGTGTTACACTTCAGAAACGCTCAAGTCCTTTGAGATATTTCCAACACTCCCCTTCGTTTCTGGAGTGCTGGAATGTTCAGATCCGGTGACGTTTGTTTGCCCGGTCAGGAGCATGCAGTAGTCGAATTTTGCTTTCGCCAATTTCTTCGTCAGATAATCTGCGGCCATTTCTGTCGTTGGGCAGTAACTGAGTTGAAGTCTCCCCTTCGCGATTTCATCCTTGACGAAGAAGTACCGTAGGGCGATGTGCTTGGTTCGGTTGGCGAAGCCATCCTTGTTCGCGATTTTGATCGCGGATTGGTTGTCGCAGAGGAGTGAGAAGGCGGGTAGGGTCGCGATCTTCGCTTCCTCGAGTAACTCCCGTAGGTAGAGTCCTTCCTTGGTCGCAGTACAAAGGGCGATATACTCTGCTTCAGCCGAGGATAGTGCGATTAACTCCTGCTTGCTCGACTGCCAGGAGATAGTTCCGATGGGCTCTAGTCGGTAGATGTAGCCCGTTCTCGATCGTCGATTTTCCTTATCTCCCGCGTGGTCGGCGTCGACGTATCCGAGTAGTCGTACGGACGGTGTTGTTGCTTTGCTGTAGGTAAGCCCGATCGTCGGCGTGGAGACGAAGTAGAGTAGTGCCCGGTTGAGCTCCTCGAGATCTTCCTGTTCCGGTTGCTTCAGATGCGTCGCCAGTTGACTTGCACTGTAGGACAGGTCGGGTCGGCAGGTTACTGCTGCGAATAGTAGGCAGCCGAGCTTCTGTTGATACTCCTGGATTTGCTTCGCGGGGAGTTTTGCGGAGGCGCTGTTGTTATTTCCGTAGCGGTAGGGGGTCGGGACCGTAGTCGGCGTCAGTCCGAATTTCTTCGCGATAGTGCCTGCGTACTTTCCAGCGTGTAGGTAGAACGCCGAGTTGTCTTCGACGACATTTAGTCCCAAGTACTGGGTCACTGAGTCGGACACCGTGATCGTCAGGTCTCCTTTCAGCTCCCCTTCGAACCAGGTGGCGATGTCGGTGGTAGAACCGATGTAGAGTAGGTCGTCGACATAGACGATGAGTAGGATGTATTCTCTTCCCTGCTGCAGTCGGTACATGCCTTGGTCATGCGGTAGCTGTAGGAATCCAATTTTTACGAGCCGGCCGTGAAGATGCTGCTGCCAGAGCCGCGGGGCTTGCTTGATCCCGTAAAGGGATTTTGTCAGTTGGCATACTTTCGTGGGGTCGTCGATGAATCCGTGGGGTTGTTCGACGAAGATCTCAGCGTCCACAGGTGCGTATAGGAACGCATTCGCGACGTCGATTTGGCGTAGTGGTAATGTCTTCGTGGCCGCGATGGCGAGTAGGATGCGTAATGAGGTGTGACGGGAGACTGGAGCGAAGGTTTCTGTGTAGTCGGTCCCGTATCGTTGATCGAAGCCTCGTACGACCCATCGAGCTTTGAATCATTCGATGGAGCCGTCTGAGTTGGTCTTAATGCGGTACACCCATTTCCCCGAGAGGACGTTCTTCCCGTTGATGCTTGTTGCAGGTACCAGTTTCCATGTTTTCCGGTCTTGCAGAGCCTTTAACTCCTTTTCCATCGCTTCCTTCCATTTCGCCTTATGTTCCCCCCCCAGAGCCTGCGACAAGGTTGAAGGCTCTCGCGGAGAAGGCGGCGGCGGATGCTGGACGGAGACCCAGAGGCCTAGAATCTGCAGTCCCGTGGGTGTGTGTCGAGGGGAATTTTCATTCCCGGAATAAGCTGCTTCGTCACCGTCTTCTGGGTCAGGTAAGAAGTTGGGACCGATGCGTTCTGAAACATTTGTGTCGACTGGGTGGGGTGTAATGTAACCTTGGTCAGCGAAGTGGTAAAAGGTGTCGAGGTTGTTGCTATCGAGAGGATTTTCTTCGTCGAGTGGAACAGGTACGGAACAGAACGGGAGTGGTCCGGCAGCTTCCGAGGCTTCAGGTACGTCTTCTTCTGCTGCGTCAGCTTCGGCGGCACGGTCGGCGAAGGAACGAAGTCCCGAGAAGCCGTCGGTGGGGTCTTGTGTGTTGGCAATGTTGTCCAGGTAATGCTGCAGCGTCAGTCGCTCGTAGAAGATAACATCTCGTGATGCCACCGTGTTTTTGTTTTGTATGTCGAGAATTTTCCACGCGTGAAAATGTTTGGCGATGCCGAGGTGTAGTCCCCACCGAGCTCGTTGTGTGAAGCGTCCTGCTCGGGCTGTGTGGGGTCTGTACTGTACCATGCAGCCAAAAACTCTGAGTAATTTTGTGCTGCCCTTTTTTCGTGTCCACAACAGGTGCGGTGATGCGTTGTTGGGAAGTGATGACGAGGACAGCAGGTTGTGCAGGTGAACAGCATGTGTCATCGCGTCGGGCCACAGTGTGGTTGGCAGTCTCATCCCCTGAAGCAGTTTTCGCATTGTCGTCTGCAAGGTCCGATTCATGCGTTCTGCGACCCCCTGCTGTTGGTGAGCATAGGGCAGGGACACCAGGCGTCTGATTCCTCTTTCCGCCAGATAGGTCCTGAAGCGTTGTGACTGGTATTCCAGTGCACCGTCTGACTGGAAGCTCTTGAGTTTGAGTCCTGATTCTCGTTCGGCGATGGGAAGCCATGTTGTGAAGGCTTCGAAGGCTTGATCGCGCGTCGTGAGATTGAAGTGCCAGACATATCTGGTTGCGGCGTCGATGAACGTGATGACGTAGTTGAAGTCGGCTTCGGTGTCGTCTCGAGGCATGTTTAAAATATCGCTGTAGACCTTTTCCATCGGAGCGTAAGTAGGTGCGCTTGGGTTGTGATGGGATGGGAAAGGTTGATGAGGAAGATCTGCTTCGGGGCATGTGAAGCACCGTGCGCGTGGTCGTCGAAGTTCTTGGCCGCTCGTCGTCAGAAGGGCGTTGCGTTCTAACACATCTGCTTGGATTGTTTGAAGTATCGTGCTGTTTGCAGGATGTCCGAGACGTTGGTGCCAGATGTCGTCGGGAGCGCGGTGACCGGGCGAGCGGTGGTAGATGTCGGCGTTGGAGAAGAACGCGACGACCGAGGCGGGACTTCGACAAGCTTCTCGTGTGGCGGGCATAAGTTGGTCTGCTTCGGTTGGCGGTCCTCGTGTCGCTGGTGGTGGTACTCGGCTGGGTCCTGCTGCCGATACTGCAGGTGATGGTTTTGTTAGGACACGTGCGGGTACTTGTCTTTCTTGTCTGATAACTGCTAATGCTCGTGTTCTCTCTGCTGCAGGTATGGTGTTGGAGTGCCAGAAGCCGTCACTGTCGAAGTCGGGATCAAGATCCGGCGGGTGAGTCCAGGCGGCGAATGATACGATACCGTCGCTGTCGGCAGTACCGCGGTCGGGGACGAAGTCCAACACGAAGACGCCGGACTTCAGGAGGGCACGATCGATGAAGAGGCCGCCCTTCCCGTGGTAAAGCCGAAACTCGTTGGAGTAGGAGTCGCACTCCAGGTGAATCCCCTTGGCCATTAGTTGGCTTACGCTTAGTAGGTTGTATCCCAGATTGTCGACAATGAGCACTTTGTTGAGCTGAAATATAACGTTTGTCTCCATCGATTGTAACTGAACCACGCCTTGTCTGTTTGTCTTCAGGTTTTCGTTGTTGGCGACGGTGATGACGACGTCGCGGTTGAGGCGTTTCTCCTGTTGCACGAAGCGTCCCGAGGAGCACATGTGTTGACCGCAGCAGCTGTCCAAGAACCAGGTGTTTCGCCCGGTGGGTTCGGCGTTGGCGACCGCAGCATATGTTGGATTGACTTGAAGGCCTTGTGAGCGTGGTGGCGGCAGCTCTTCTTCGTCTGGCGCGTAGGTGGGTGGTGATCCGGGTGCGCAGTTGTCGATGTGTACCATGCAATTGATAATGTTTGGTGTTTGTTGTGCAGATGTTGAAGAGCGCCTTGGGGGACTGGCTTGAGTAGAAGTTACTTGTGGGTCTGCTGCATGGTAAACGCGAGGGCGGTTGCAGTTGACTTTGGAGTGCCCGGAAGTCTGGCAGTTGTGGCAGAACGGCGGTACGATGGTGAGTCCTCGGTTGTCGCGTTGATCTTGCTTGTTGCGTCGGTTGTAGTTGTTGTCATTTCTTCTTTGAGTGTAGAAGACTAACTGCTGTTGCTTCCTTGGTTGTCTTTCCTCGAACAGATCCATCTCCTGTTGTTCAGCGTGAAGCTCGGCGCAGAGGTGCATCTCCGAAATTCTTCCGTGGGCTCGAAGAAGTGATCGTGTGGTTCTCCATTCTGGCCCGAGCCCGGCGAGGACAAGTGTTACGAAGCTTTCTTCAGTGATCGTTCCTCCGCACCGGAGCAGGCGGTCGCGGAGGGTCTGGCAGCGACTCATATACTGCATCGCCTTTTCCCCGGTCTTCATCTGTATTGTTGTCAGCTGTTGCATGAGTCTGCTTTGTGTCACGCTGTCGTTTGCTTGATAGAGGCACTTGAGATGATGCCATGCGAGTTCCGCGGAGTTTCCATAACTCCGATACGTTCTGATGCTCTGCTGCTCTTGTGGTGACAGGTTTCTCAGGAGTACCGTATACGCCAGCAGCGACTGATATGTGAAGATTTCTTGTTCCTTCCCAGTGCCATTGCTTGGGAATGGCAGGGACCCGTTGAAGTATCCCAGAAGGTGCGCGGCCTCCATCAGCAGCTCGAATTCGAAGCTCCAGGTAAAGAAGTCGTGTCCGTTGAACGGTGAGGATGTCTGAAGTTTAATTACGTGTGAGAACTGTGCCTGAAGACTTAAGATTTCGTTCGGTGTTTGTTGTGATGCAGCTGCTGTTGGCTGGGCACGGGGCGGCATGAACTCGAACGTTCCCGGTGAAGAGTGATAAGGCGCAAAAGTAGGTGCTTGATTGTGTCGCCCGAAGGATGAGTTGTCGAGGCTCATTGGCGCTAATCACATATTCCCTCCATTGCTCTGTGTTGAGTGCGCAGGTGTCCTTGTCTGCTGCTGCTGGTCGAAGTGTGACATGAAGCTGAAGAATCTCTCCATGAGATTCGGGTCCACACTTGAAGAGGGAGACGGAGTCACCATCTCCGGTGCTCTTCCCGTTGTTTCTTGAGCAGTCCCGGTCTCTGTCTGCAGTCCTGAGGTGTGCAGACCAGAGTTGCCGTGTTGAGTTTCTTGGGCGCTGGGTGAGCCCGTAGAGACTTTCTTGCCCTTGTTGTCCATGTCTTGTAATCAATGGAGTTGTTGAATCAAGTCGAGTTGCTGGTTGTTGATGGAGTGTAGTTGCTGGGAGTTTGGTCTCTGACCAGCTCTCATACCATGTTGGGCTGAGAAATGCCCTTAGGATCTTTCCAGAGACTAAGTCCCAGTCGTAGAATGAGGCTTTGAGTAGTGCAGCGGAAGTTGAGGCAGTTGAACCCTTGTACTAGTATATGAGAACAAGTGATTAATTAAAGAAACAAGCATACAGCAATATATAGAAGATAGGAAGGCAGTTGTAGAATACAGTTACAGGAACGGTTTATCGAGTCGCACAGCGACTCGATTGCCGCTTCGGTTACCATCCGTGATGTTGTAACGGTCAGTCGCAACCTCCAGTTGCGACCTTTCGAGTCTTTTCGCATTCTTTGTCCGCCCCCTCGTGTAACCTCCGTTGACTCGCGTGCTCCCCTGTAATCTTCCTCGAGTACAGTGTTACACTTCAGAAACGCTCAAGTCCTTTGAGATATTTCCAACATTCTATTCGGGCTGATAAGGTTATTTATTTTTGTTCAACTAAATACTGCTTTGTACACTAACTAGGCATGGAAGCACTGCACAGGCTTTAAAGCCAAAAAAAAAAAAAAAAAAAAAAAAAAAAACTGCATAGGCTGGAGCATTACACCAACATGTTACATGGCATGCATCTTGTTGGGCTGAGAAAAGCCCTTAGGATCTTTTGCAAAGACTAAGTCCCAGCTGTAGAGACTTGAGACTTGGAGTAGTGCAGCGGAAGTTGAGGCAGTTGAACCCTTGTACTAGTATGTGAGAACAAGTGATTGATTAAAGAAACAAGCATACAGCAATATATAGTAGATAAGAAAGCAGTTGTAGAATACAGTTACAGGAACGGTTTATCGAGTCGCACAGCGACTCGATTGCCGCTTCGGTTACCATCCGTGATGTTGTAACGGTCAGTCGCAACCTCCAGTTGCGACCTTTCGAGTCCTTTCGCATTCTTTGTCCGCCCCCTCGTGTAACCTCCGTTGACTCGCGTGCTCCCCTGTAATCTTCCTCGAGTACAGTGTTACACTTCAGAAACGCTTAAGTCCTTGAGATATTTCCAACACATCTCATAACATGACAATAACATGGAGTGTATGCCTTATGGTGCAAAGCAAACAGATCGACTTGCACCAAGCACTGTCTGCTCTATCAGCCAGGTTTGGCGCTTGGAGTCTTCAGCAGCTCTGTCTGTGTCAGCGCACAGATACGGAAGGAAGGCGGAAGGAAGGGAAAGAAGGCGGAGGCAGAAGGAAGGCAGAAGCCAAGGCGGAAGCAATTGACTGACAAGGAGGCATGGCATGGCAGTCGCAGACGAAGCAAACCTGGCCGGAGCTAGCTTTCGCCTCGTCCATCAGAAAGGTACGGCCCCGAGAGAACTTGTGCGATTGAGCGCAAGGAAGGTGGCATGGCATGGCAGAGGAGGCATGGCAGTCAGTCGCAGACGAAGCAACCCTGGCGGGAGCTAGCATTCTCCTCGTCCATCAGCCAGGTACGGCCCCGACCTGAGAGCTTTGAGAAGCTCCGCCTGAGCCTCTAGGCAAAGGGTGCGCATGGAAGAAAGAAGCTGCAGGCGGGGGAGGAGCAGTCTCCGCCCAAACCTCAGGACAGATGGCGGACATGTCGTGCCGAGCGCAGGGAGTCTATTTTTGAGGCGCCTCAAAAACAGATGGCACATGTCGTGCCGAGCGCAGAAAGTCTATTTTTGAGGCGCCTCAAAAACAGATGGCGGACATGTCGTGCCGAGAGCAGGGCAGGCAGAAGCGCTGGGCGAAGAAGCAGCTGCAGGCGGGGGAGAGCAGCGCACAGCAGCGTGGCAGACGGGGTCAGCTTCGAGGACCCACTCACTCCCCTGAGAGCTTTCAGCATCTTTGAGGCGCCTCAAAAGACGGGGACAGCTTCAAAGACCCACTCACTCCCCTGAGAGCTTTCAGCACCTCTGCCTGAACCTCGGGGCAGAAGGCAGAAGCGCTTGGCGGAGAAGAAGCAGAAGAAGGAGGTGGTGCGAAAAGGCGAGCAGCAGACAGGGGCCTCTCAGCGGCCTCTCAAGCCAGGTCATGCTTTGGCTTTAAGAGCTTTCAGAAGCAGCCTCTCAGCGGCCTCTCAGACGCTCCACCTGAGCCTCGAATCAAAAGGTTGGCATGTTACCGCGGGCACAGGGCTGGCAGAAGCTCCTGGCGAAGAAGGAGCTGCAGGAAGGGACGCAGCAGACGGTGGCCTATCTGGTCATGCATTGGTGCTGCCAAGAGCTTTGAGGAGCTCCGCCTGAGCCTCGGGACAGAAGGCGGGCAGGTTGCATTGGGGGCAGGGAAGGCAGAATTTCTGAGCGAAGAAGAAGTTGCAGGAAGGGGAACAGCAGACGGTGGCGTGGCAGAGGAAGCACGCGGATCCAAGGAAGAGCAGCCGCTGGGAGGACGAGGAGGACCCGAACGAACCTCAAGCATAGCTTCTCAAAAAGCTCCTGAACTGGTCAAGGTTTGGCGCCAAGAGCCTTGAGGAGCTCCGCCTGAGCCTCGGGACAAAAGGCAGCCACGTTCTGCCGAGCACAGGGAAGGCAGAACCTCTTGGCGAAGAAGAAGCTGCAGGAAAGGGAGCAGCAGACGGTGGCGTGGCAGAGGGAGCACGCGGATCCGAGGAAAAGCGGCCGCTGGGAGGACGACGAGGACCCGAACGGATCCCGGCAGATATAGCCGTCCTCGAGGAACCTGGCATCATGAGAACGGGAGGGCGGGAGAAAAAATGGCGACACTTTTGCGCCGAATTAAAAGACACCTGAGAAGAGAAGAGGACTTGAACGGATCTCGGCAGATGCAGCCGCCTTCCAGGAACCTGGCATCATGAGAACGGGAGGTCAGGAAAGATTTAGATTGTAACGTTTGCGTCGACTCCAAAGTCACCTGAGAGGAGTAAAGGAACGGATCTAGGTGGAAGGAGCCGTCTTACAGGAATGTGGCATGATGAAAGGGAGGGCAGGAAGACATATCGGCTGGCAACTTTTCTGAAGCTAGCAGCGTCTACTCAACGGTCAAATGAGACGAGGATCCCAACGGATCCCGGGAAGGGAGGAACCCGGCACAACCGGGAAGAGCGGCCAGGAAGGCGTAATGGTAGCTTTTGAGTCGACTCGACTCTCAAGTCACCTGAACGGATCCCGGCAGATATAGCCCGTCTCTGAGGAACCTGGAATCATGAGCAAGGGAGGCGAGGAAAACATAATGATAACTTTGGAGTCAAGTCGACTCTACAGCCACCTAACGGATTCCAGGCCCGGAAGATACAGCCATTTTTGGGGATCCTGGAATCAGGAGCAAGGGAGGCCAGGAAAATATAATGGTGAACTTTTGCGAGGACTCCTCAGTCACCTGAAAAGAGGATCCCAACGGATGGCTGTCTCGGCAAACACGGTCGATTTCCAGGAATCTGGCGAATAGCCGTCTCTCAGGAATCTAGTGAATATTGTCGTCTTTCAGGAACCTGGCGAATATAGACAGTCTTCCAAAAGTCTGACAGGAGTTTACCCTTAGAAGCGAGCGGGATGGAAAACCAAAGTAGGCGAAAGGAACGTACGCGATATGAGGAGCGAATGGCGGTCGTCGACCCAGGTAGTCGAAGCGAGCTTCGAGCTTGCACAGATTGCACGTGAAAATGGTTCCGCGACTGGCTTTCTCGGGCACCACCTTATCCACACCGGAATCCATCACTGCCAAGCTGGCTTGATTTCTAGAAATGTCAACTCAGAAGTAGCTGCATCAACAGGTGTTCTCGGGCATCACCTTATCCACACTGGAATCCATCACCGTAAGCTCGCAAAGCTGCTGAGATTTCAACAAGGAGCAGCGCAAAATCAGCAGCATCAACCGATTTCTCGAGCGTTATTCTATCCACACCGAAATCTATCGCAGGCAAGCCTGTCGCAAGGACATCATCCCGCGCGGCCTTGAACAATCACGCACGCTTCCGCTCAACTGGACGAAATAAAGCTCAGGCAGGCTGAGCTATGCTTAGAGATTCGTGCTTCGAGAACTCTGACCCAAGGGAAGTCCCGCGCGTACAATTTTCGCTCAATACCCTACCTAACTGTTTCAAACCGTTTCCGGAAACTTTTGATTCAAAAAGCATCGCATCCAACCGCAATCAAACGTACGCGTGGGACACGCTCTTACTCTTAGCGATGGAGTAAGCAGGCACGCTGGAAGTCGGGCCTGGAAATGAAGGGATGATCGAAGCTCGTTATAAGCAATCCACAGTTGCATTATCGTGAACGCATTTGCAATGTAGCCCGTTTTGCAAACTTTCCTTGACCTGGCCGAAATTTCATCCTTATGAAGAGCTTCGTTATGCCAACCGTTTTTGATGTAAAATATTTGCATTGCTGAAAGTTACAACAGGTCTTTACCACCTCGCCACGCTGGAAGTCAGGCCGTTTCGTGCAATTCCGTCTCACGCCTTCAACGGCGGAGGTCGTGTTATTATTGGCTGGCGGCCTCCATTGCAGCCACGTCACCTCACCTGGTGTTCGTTCCCAAGCCCATAACCAGACTAAACCACGCTCAAAAGCTTCAAGAACGTACTGAACCGCCGCACTTATCTCAAATTGAATTTGAGGGCTAGTCCACGGGCGTGGAATCCGAGCCGCGACGTTGCCTGTTTGGTTTGGAAGAACCGCAGCAGCAGCCATGGCCGACGGCCCACGGCAAGAGCCCTGCGCCCCAAGAATCCTCCAGCCAGACCAGACCCGAACCGAACCAAACCACTTCCCACGCCTCGTCCCCGGCCATGGGCGGAACAAAGGCAGGAAAGCGATGGGAAGTCTTGCCGCGTCTCCTGTTTCTTTCTTTATTTCTTCGTTCTTCGTTTTCTCCCCGCAAATGCCGCCGCGTGTCTCACAGTTAGTGAACGATGGAAAGGCCTTCCTCCGAGAGAAGGTGCTGTTTCTTTGCCGCAGCCGCTTGTTGCTTCAAGCAAAGGAAGTTTCTCGCCTCGCCGACATGGATAGCAGTACTATCCGAATTCGTAATAGTTCTACGCCTCCCTCCTAGATCCCCATTCCGGTCGACCTCGCTCGCGAATTCCGAATTTTAAGGCACGAGCCAGAGATCTCCGTCCCATTGCGACGGGACTGTGTCCCTTGCGACGGTGATAGCATAGTCACTACCAGCGCTCGTGATAACCTGAGGAAATAAAGCAGACGGAATATTTCTAAAAGTAAAATAGGGAGAATTTCGTAGGACTCCCTATTGGTCTTTCGGAGTTACTCGACAGCGTGCGACAAAAACTAATATCAAGCACGCCAAGATGCACTGCCGCCATGGCCAAACCTTGAGTCGCAACAACATCCTTGCACTTCTTCTCCTCTCCGCCACGCTCCTTGCACAACATCTTCGCACCTCTTACGGTAGTAGTAGCAGCTTTCTTGCTGCCACTGAAAGCTTTCCTAAAGCTTCTCAGAACCCTCAAATTTCTAGGGATTCCTATGGAAGCTTCTCAGAAAGCGGTAGCAGCAACGGAGTATCAAGCAGCTCGACAGCTGTGACAGCCGCCGCCGCTGCAGCGAATCAAGATGCCGCCGCTGCTGCAGCGAATCAAGATGCCGCCGCTGCTGCAGCGAATCAAGATGACTCCGGAGACTCTAAAGAAACACCAAGAAACAGGGTCACGCCCCGCCTTCCACGTCGCATGGTTCAAGTCGGCGCTCGCATCCAGGTGCTTGACGACAATCCGCAAGCAAAACTTGAAGGACTTTCTGAGAAGCGCGCCTCCGCCGCCGCCGCTGCCGCCGCCGCCACCAGCAGCCGCGCACCGCCTTTGTCGCCGCCGCCGCTGCCGCCGCCGTCCAGCGGCCCTCGCACTGAGAGGGGCTACGTTCCCGTTCGGCCGGCATGGCGGCGAAACCTAGGCGAGCTCCGAATTCGCCAAGATCGAGGCCGTCGGCTCGGCGGCAGTCGCGGTGAGCGCCAGGCAGTGGACGATGGAGCAGGAAGCGCGGGGGATGTCATGGGCAACACTATGGGCGAAGAACCAGGGGACCGCAGCGAGCTGACGGCCGACGGGCAGCGATCCAAGCAGAATACTGAGCTGTCTTATAACGGGGGCTCCGTTATCGCGGACCCGACCGTCTACCTGATCTACTACGGCACGTGGCCCAAGAATTCAGGAGCTGCTATCATAGAGAACTTTGTGCGGTCGCTTGGGGGAGAAGCAAGCACCCAGGGGGGGCCAAGGGGCGAGAATAGCGTGAGCGGTTGGTGGGCGATCACGACGCAGTACTTCATGACGGGGGCGGATGGTAACCAGACATACGTCACACCTCAGGTGAATCTCTAGGTGTGTTTTGACTCGACTCAAAACACAGCGTGAGTGATTGGTGGGCGATCACGACGCTTTACTTCATGACGGGGGCGGATGGTAACCAGACATACGTCACACCTCAGGTGAATCTCCAGCTCCCTCATACGACGCTTGACGCTGATGCTCCTGCTCCCTTCCTGCTCCCTTCCTGCTGCCTTCCTGCTGCCTTCCTGCTGCCTTCCTGCTGCCTTCCTGCTCCCTTCATCCCTCTTTCCTTCCTCTCTGTGCTTCACGCTTTTCCCTTCATGTCCTTCACTTCCTGCTCTCTCCCCAGACACTGAGCCATCAAAGACCATCAAAGACCAAGCCCTCAATTTCAAACCAGGAGCTTCTGTCGTGACCTTGCCAGAATCCCTGCCACCCTCCCCCACCCTCCCCCACCCTCCCCCACCCTTCCCACACTCCCCCGCACTCCCTTTTCCAAAGGCTATTATCCTTCCCTCCCCCCCCCCGCCTCCCAACTTCTCTCCGTCAACGCATCTTGCAGGTGCGATTCGGGGGATCGGTCGTGGATCGCGGGTCGATCGGCAACTCGTTTTCCGATACAGAGATCGCCAAGAGTAAGCCCCCTCCACTCAGCCTTGCCGCAGCCAGCCCTTGCATCTCATGACTCATGAGTCGACTCAAAAGTCATCGCGGTTCAATGATCAATCGGCAGCTCGTTTTCAGATACAGAGATCAGAGATCGCTAGGAGTGAGTCGCCTCCCCTCCACTCAGCCCAGCCTCAGCCGTTGCAGCGCGCTTCTCTCCCCTGAAACCGTTTCCCCTGCAGCCCACCTGTACTCCATCTACGACCCCTGCCTCCTCCCCCTCCTTCCCACGCTCCCCTCACTTGTGGACCGTGCTGTGGACAAGGCTGCCACGCTCCGCCTCAGTTTCACCCTCTCGTTCCCAAGCAAGAGCCCCCATCTTCTGCTGCACTCCGCCACTCCCTTCCTTCCATCTGCCTCCCTGTCTCCCCTTTTCCCCCCTCACACCTTTGTGTTTCACTTGCAATGTGGGCAAGGCCAGCCAGCTGCTGTTCGATCGATCTGAGAGGAATCTACATGGAGCGGCAGGAACATGAGTACTCTGCGCCGCGTCCCCTCCGCTCCATGTGCCCTTGTCTGCCCACCCACCCCTCATACAACAGCGATAGGTTCTTGAGAATTCTCAAAAACCTATCACAGCCTTGTCTGCCCACCCACCCCTCATACAACAGTCGCCCATAGCAATGTGTGGAAGGCCAACTGGCTGCTCACACTCCAGCCGTCCCCCCCACCTCCCCCTCTCCCCCACCCCTCCCCCCCCCCAGTTGTGGATCGCAACGTGGGCAAGGCCAACAGATAGCCGTCCGATCCCAACGAATCTTTCTCTCCCCCTCCCCCTCTCCCCCCCTCCTCTCCCCTCCCCCTCTTTCCCCCCGCCCCCCCAGTTGTGGATCGCAACGTGGGCAAGGCCAACAGATTGCCGTCCGATCCGAGCGGGATCTACATCGTGATCACGAGTGCTGACGTGGACGTGTGGGAGTTCAGCCGCTGCAGCTACTGTGGGTGGCACGCGCAGATGATGGACATGCGGACAGGCGACCCCATAGCGTATGCGTTTGTGGGCCACCACTCGCAGTGCTGCCAGTACAGCGAGTAAGCCTTAGTAGGGAAGCACCTTGTACCAACGTAAAGGTTTAGCCGCTGCAGCTACTGCAGGTGGCACACGCAGATGATGGACATGCAGACGGGCGACCCTGTGGCGTATGCCTTCGTGGGCCACCACTCGCAGTGCTGCCAGTACAGCGAGTGAGTCTAAGGTGGACAGGCGATCCCATGGGATACACGTTTGCGGGGCGCCATTCCCAGTGCTGCCAATACAGCGAGAAAGCCTTAGTAGGGAAGCACCTTGTGCTGACGTGGATGTGTGGGGGTTCAGCCGCTGCAGATACTGCGGGTGGCATGCGCAGATGATGGACATCCGGACAGGCGACCACTTGCAGTGCTGCCAGTACAGCGAGTGAGTCAAGTTAGGCAGGGGACATGTAATCTGATGGGAGCTCAGCAGTAGCTGCAGCCGCCTGCTGCTGCAGCTACTGCCCTTGGACATCTGCACTTGGGAGCTACTGCTGCTGCTGCTGGACATCTGCACATGATGGACATCTGCACATGATGGACATCTGCACATGATGGACATCTGCACATGATGGACATCTGCACATGATGGACATCTGCACATGATGGACATCTGCACATGATGGACATCTGCACTTGATGGACATCTGCACATGATGGACATCTGCACATGATGGACATCTGCACATGATGGACGTCTGCACATGATGGACATCTGCACATGGGAGATCTACTACCCCTGCCCTTGCCCCTGCACCAAGACTGCTGCTGATTCCTCCTCTGTCGCCTCCTTGCCCCCTCATTCAACCCAATTCCCCTTTTGCAGCTCCTCCCCCAACGGCATGCCAGCCGTGGACAGCACGGTGAACACCATCGCCCGGGAGATCACCAAGACTGTCGCTGACCCTTCCTCTGTCCCTCTGCCCACTCCCCATCCCCCATTCCCCTTGCAGCTCCTCCCCCAACGGCATGCCAGCCGTGGACAGCATGGTGAGCACCATCGCCCGTGAGATCACTGAGGCTGCCACCGACCCGGACATTTCCTCCGGCTGGTTCGACTCTTCCGGGCAGGAGAACTCAGACAAGTGCGCCTCCTTCTTCGGGCAGCCGAAAGAAATCAAGCAGGCACGTGGCAGCAGCAGCAGCAGCAGCAGCAGCAGTCGCCGGAGCAGCAGGCGCAGGGGGCCGACGTTCTACAAATCCGATTTTAAGGCACCTGAAGATACTGTTTACGAGTATAACATGGTTGGTAACCACGGCATGCGTTACATGGTGGAGGCCAACTGGGACATCGTCACAGGGAGCTGTCAGATCCAAGGCAAGGTTCACAAACCGAAGTCTGCCGAACCTAAACGGCTGGCTCGGAATCAAGGCTTGGCTCCGGAGAAGGGAGCTTCGGCAGGAGGAGGGTGGAGAATGTCGTTCTCAAGTGGTTCTGCTGCCCTTGATTCCGCCATACCTGGTTCTGCCACCCCAGATTCTGCTGCTCCTGGCTCGGAGTATCTTTTGCTCCCACCTGATGAAGGGGACAGTATTGGATCCCTGCCCCCTCCCAGCTCCGCCGCCCCCAGCTCTTCCCCTCCCAGCTCTGCCGCCCCCAGCTCTGCTGCTCCCAGCTCTGCCGCCCCCAGCTCTGCTGCTCCCAGCTCTGCCGCCCCCAGCTCTGCTGCTCCCAGCTCTGCTGCACCTAGCTATGCCGCTCCCAGTTCTGCTGCTCCAAGCTCAGGCAACTCCCCAGGATCGGAGTATATAGACTACCCACCTGAGCTTGAAGGCGAGATTGGCTCACTGGCTGCTCCCAGTTCTGCCGCCCCTAGCTCTGCTGCCCCTAGCTATGCCGCCCCTAGCTTTGCCGCTCCTAGCTCCGCCGCCCCTAGCTTTGCCGCCCCTAGCTCTTCCCCCCCTAGCTCTGCCGCCCCTAGCTCTGCCGCCCCTAGCTCTGCCGCCCCTAGCTCTGCCGCCCCTAGCTTTGCCGCCCCAAGCTCCGCCGCCCCTAGCTCTGCCGCCCCTAGCTCTGCCAGCCCCAGTTCTGCCGCCCCCAGTTCTGCTGCTCCTAGCTCTGCCAGCCCAAGTTCTGCCGCCCCTAGTTTTGCTGCTCCCAGCTCTTCTCCTCCCAGCTCTTCTCCTCCCAGCACAGCTGCTCCCAGCTCTGGCGCTCCTAGTTCACATGTAGCGCCTCCATCGGAGGCGTCACCAGGCTCGGAAGTTGCACCAGGCTCGGGAGCTGCACCAGGCTCGGAAGTTGCACCCGGCTCCGAAGTTGCACCGGGCTCGGAATTTGCACCGGGCTCGGAAGTTGCACCAGGTTCAAACACAGCCCCTGGTTCAGAAATGGCGCAAGGATCAGAGTCCGCCCCTGGTTCGGAAACAGCTCCTGCTTCGGAAACATCCCCTGGTTCGGAAACACCTCCTGGTTCGGAGCTTGCTCCAGGTTCAGAGTTGGCACCAGGCTCAAGAACGTCCCCAGGTTCGGATGGTGCTCCAGGGTCAGTCAACGCACCAGGCTCGGAAAATGCTCCAGGCTCGGATGGTGCTCCAGGGTCAGTCAACGCACCAGGCTCGGAAAATGCTCCAGGCTCGGATGGTGCTCCAGGGTCAGTCAACGCACCAGGCTCGGAAAATGCTCCAGGCTCGGAAGACGCTCTTGGCTCTGAAGAATCTCCAGGCTCGGAAGATGCTCCAGGCTCGGAAGATGCTCCAGCCTCGGAAGAGGCTCCAGGTTCGGAAGGTGCTCCAGGCTCGGAAGGTGCTCCAGGCTCGGTAGATGCTCCGGGCTCAACAGTTGCTCCGGGCTCAGAAGATGCTCCAGCCTCGGAAGATGCTCCGGCCTCGGAAGAGGCTCCAGGTTCGGAATATTCTCCAGGCTCGGAAGGTGCTCCAGGCTCGGTAGATGCTCCGGGCTCAACAGTTGCTCCGAGCTCAGAAGATGCTCCAGCCTCGGAAGATGCTCCGGCCTCGGAAAAGGCTCCAGGTTCGGAATATGCGGACTACCTCCCTGATTTAGATGCTGCTCCCAGCTCTGAGAGTGCACCTGAATCATACGGCTTGTCAGGTGAATCAGTTTCAGGGACTGATGCACCTGAAGCACAAGTCTTTTCAGGTGGATCATTATTGGGGAGTTACGCACGTGAAGCAGGAGACTATTCAGGTGGATCAGATTCAGGGAGATACGCACCTGAAGCAGGAGACTATTCAGGTGGATCAGTTTCAGGGGGTTACGCACCTGAAGCAGAAGACTATTCAGGTGGATCAGTTTCAGAGGATTACGCACCTGAAGCAGAAGACTATTCAGGTGGATCAGTTTCAGGGGGTTACGCACCTGAAGGAGAAGACTATTCAGGTGGATCGGAAAGTTACACAACTGAATAAGACGACTATCCAGAAATAGCAGACGACACCAGCACCTGAAATAGCAGACGATACCTGAAATAGCAGATTATCCAGCCATCTAGCCTACCATGCAGACGACATTTGAGGTGATTCAAGGAGGCTCAGCCTTGTGAGGAGGGAATGGACTAGCGTACTCGAGTTCCCTTTTCCTAGACTCACAAGTGGCGCTGCTACTATGGGTCGAAGAAGGTATGCTGCTTCAGGTGGGTCGACGGAGAGGCTGCTGTACATGAAAAATAGCTCAGCGTGTCCATTGTACTCGTTATAGCCTTGTTTGTAGGCCTCTTTTTTGCTGTGTGGAGTGCAGGCAGGGCGCATCCTTCTCCTATGCCCCGATTCCACTAATGACAAGAACGAAATTAAACGGAAACATATTTTGAAAAAAAAGTATCTTATTCATTTGTGAGATATAAAAGCTGATAATCTGAATAAACGGAACTTACCTCTCATCGATTGGGAGAATGTGTACAAACATTTTGAAGTAGTATCCTCTTATGATTCCGCTTTTCGAACGTAAATCTCGTCTTGCTGAGATTGATTCAACCTGCTAAAATCTACAGCGAGTACAATCATGGAAGTGCCAGCTCGGGGGGACGTGCACGCTTCGACGATTCCATCCTGCCTGCCATCAGGTTTCCGTGAAGCTTGACCTAGCGAGAGTTACTTTTCCCTTCCCTTCGTGTGCGACTACTTCGTGTGAAGATTGACCTCAACGAACTTCTGCGACGAACATGGCACACCAGCCAGGAACAGTCTGCATAAGCAGGTGAGGGGGGCCAGCATTTGTCACTCCACCCCACCAAGAAAAATGGCGCGAAAACGTAGCGCTGATCTGTGGTGGGGTGGAATGGCACAGCAGATGGCTGCATTGCATCTGCTGCATGCCTGCCAACAGGAGGGGGCGATGAGAGAGCGAGAGAGAGAAAGTGTGGAGTACGAGACGAGAGCAAGTTTTAGTGAGAAGGGCGCAATTTGGAGTTAGGTGAAGTGCCACACCGTTAGGCTCTTACACTGCAGACCTTCTTGAGGTGCATGGCGCAGTAGGGTGCCGTGCCACGCGGTAAACATCCAATTCTCGTCAAAGTGCGAAATTATCAACGCACCAAGTCTGGCCAGACGCATATTGCGATGTGCCAACATGATACGAGTAGTCTCCTCGCTAACGTGTAGCAGTATCGCACCAGTGCCCATCTAATCCTCCACTCACACTACCATTTTTTGCGTAATCCGTCTACTATTTTACCCTCACACGCTACGTCTAGCAGCCTCGCAATTACGTAACGGCAATGGCGCACAGGTTTGGTTCAAACCGCCTTGAGCGGCGAAACAGTCTTGTCGACGACTCGGACCCCTGCGCGGTCAACGGCAACGGCGCGTCTCAAGGGCGCTACGGCCAGGGGGAAGTCGGCTGGTGCGGCTCCCTCTTCCAGCGCGCAGTCAAGCGCGGACCCGCGGGCCGCTTGCGCGGGTTCACGTGGGACCCTTGGCGGAGCGACTCCGGGAACAGCGGCAGCGGCGGCGGCGGAAGCAGTGGCTGGGGGTGGGGAAGCGGAAGCGATGGCAGCATGACTCCGCGCTCTCCGCGCTCCCCGCGCTCCCCGCGCTCCCCGCGCACGCCGATAACGCCTCGCCGCCGCCGGGGGGGATCGTATCAAGATGGTAATTACCGACCTGGCACGCCTGGCGCTCCTTATAAGAACGCGCCTTATTTCCTAGGCGGACAGCCCCTCGCTTCAGTCGCCTCATCTGGGCCGTACGATCCTACTAACGGGGGTTCACTTCTCGACGGAAACAGTGGCGGGTTTTGGGGAGGCGGCGCGGCGCTGAGCGCGTCCCGTCGGGCGGCGCGTCAGCAGGGGGGCGGCAGGGACGGCAAGGGCTCAAGGGGAGGCGGATTTTCGGTGATGAGCGATTGGCTGACGTGCTCGCTACAGTCGCTGCTACAGTCGCGTATTGAGCAGTTACAGACGTCGGAGCAGGTGAGCCGGCGGCAGCTGATGGCGGAAACTGCGGAGATGGTTCTCAACGTGCTCGACGCGCGCTCCGCCGACGACGCGCTCGCGCACCGCTCCGAAGTCTCCGCGCTGCGGCGCCTGCAGCGCGAGTCGTTCAGCGACCTCCTGCACCTCCGCGACCGCCTCACGCGCCTCGAGCTCCTCGCGGACGACTTCTCTCTCGGCCGCCACCGCGTCGCGCCCGCCGCGTTCCTCGCCGCGACTTCCGCCGGGCGCACGGAAGTCTCGGGCCGCATCACCGTCGGATCCGCGCTCGTCCCCACGGGTGGGCTCCGCTCGCACCGCTCCCGCGCCACGATGGAAGCCGCGGGACTGCGCTCCGGGGTGCAGATGGCTCTAACTCTCGCGTCGCTCTGCCGGTCCTCGGACCGCCTTAATACAATCCTAGGAGTCGGGCCGCCGGATCCGCTAGGGCCGGCGCTAGCGCTAGGCGGCCCGGTGGTGCTGCAGAAGGCGGTCTATAAGGCGCAGCTGGCGGAAGGGCTGGCGGTGACCGCGGCGCCGATGGGCGCAAGCGGAGCGGACCTGGTGGGGGAAGGCTCCGCGGGGGCGGGAGTGGGCGGGGATGGCGCAGCGGCTCAGGTACGTGGATAAGTGGGGTTGCCGCATTTCCACATTCCCGCATTTCCGCATTCCCGCATTCCCGCATTCCTCGTGTACTCGTTATTCGCGCCCATGTGTTTCATGTCCTTGTAATTTCACCCCTTTTTTTTTCCAGTTCCTCGTTACGCTCGTCTAAGCCCTTCCTTCGCCGCTTTTACCATTGCGTCTGGTGCGGACACGTGGCCTCACCACCTTCAGCAGCGGCACCATCCCTGGCTCGCGCCCTCGTTATTCGCGCCCTCGTTGTTCGCGCCCTCGTTGTTCGCGCCCTCGTTATTCACGTCCCCCGTTATCTTTCCGCTATTCCCCCCCCTCCCCTGATGCTGCAGACACGTGGCCTCACCACGTTCAGCGGCGGCACCATTCCGCTTCTCCAGTCCATCCGCGGAACCGCGCTCGCGGTGACCGTCGATACGCCCGTCCCCGCGCTCTCCCCCCTCCTCCCCGCGCTCTCGCGCGCGCTTTCCGCCCTTCCCCGCGCGCTTCCCCCATCCGTCGCGCGCGCTCTCGGCCTCCGCTCTGCGCGTCACTCCCCGTACACGCCCTTCCGTTCCGCGCGATCTACCCCCTCCGCGAACTCCTCCGCGGATCCCCCCGCGCTGTCGTTTACCGCGGGGAAGCTAGTCGCGGGGTGGGGGGTTCCGCTGGAGGATCCTTCCGCGCTCGCCGCCGCCGCGGCGGACACTGCGCTCTGCACTTCCGCGCTGGGGCACCTTGCGCTGCGCCTCTCCCCCTCCCTGCGCGTTTCCGCCGCCGCCGCGTCGCACTCGTGGCCCGCGCCCCCCGCGCCCTCCTTCCCCGGCCTGCACTGGTCGGAAATGGGGCCCCTGGTGATTCCGCGGCTGGGGGGAATCTTGCGCAGCCCGCGCGCGCGCGGGGGAGGCGCGAGGGGGGGAATGCAGGTGGTGCGGGAAGCGGGGTCGACAACAGAAGGGGTAGCGGTGGGCGGAAGGATTGGGGGAAGCGGCGGGGGCGCGGATTCCCCCCAGAGTTACGCCAGTGGGGGAGTGGATAGGATAGTAGTGGAAAGTATGAGGGGCGGGGGAGGCGGGGGGGGAGGCGGAGGCGGAGGCATTGGGGACAGGGGGAATGTGTTAGAGGGCGGAGGTGACAGTATGGATGCCACGAGCGCATGGCTCATGGATATGGGTGATTATAGCGAGAGCAGACCAGAGTCGTTTGGCATGGCGCTGGCTTTAGAAAAGGAGATTAAAGGCGGAACCACTATTTCGGCGTGGGTGCAACGGTCCAAGTGGGCGGGAGGAGACTATGGGGGGGAAGTGGCAGTAGGTGGAGGGGGAAGGGGTGGGGAAGGGGGAAGGGGGGGAAGAGGGGGAGGGGAGGGGGGAGAGGAAGGGCTTCTGGGGAGACTGGGAGCAGATTGGCAGTGGGCAGTAGCAGTAACAGGAAGGGCGGCAGGAAGTGAGGGGGAGGAGGGGGAAAGAGGAAGTGGTGGGGTGGGGAAAAGAGAGAGAGGAGAGGGAGGAGGAGGAGGAGGAGGAGGAGGAGGGGGAGGAGTGGTGAGGGCAGCGCGGGTAGTTGGATACAGGGTGAGTGTCGGGCAGGGTGTACCGGAGGGTGGTTTACCCCCGGATTTGGTGGAGAGTAGCGAGGTGTCGATGGGGGGAGGGGGGGGGAAGGGGGGGATTGGAAGGAGGTTGTGGCAGGGGGAGGGGAGTGTGGCGGTGGATTGTGGGGGCGGAGTGGTGCTGGAGCCAGGGGTGGTGATAGCGGGCAACAGGGACCTAGGGGTGCATACAGCGTTTATGCTGCGGACAACACTTCATATATAGGTGCCTGGGCGCCTGATATGATGATGTAAGGCGTGTGGTGGTGCTGGCGCCTGGAGCCAGGGGTGGTGATAGTAGGACTTGGGGATCTAGGGGTGCATACAGCGTTCATGCTGCGGACGGACAACTCTCAACATCTGATGCTTGCTTGGTTCAAGGTTTAGGGAAGGGGCGGGGTCTGGGGCAGTAGCAGGAGGAAGCTTTTGCTTTTGAGTCGACTCAAAAGCGGACAGCAGGAGGCTGTGGCAGGGGGGAGGGGCGAAGGGAGGCGCAAGGAGGCTGTGGGGGGGGTGGGGAGGGGGGAGGGGGAGGAGTGGGAGGGGGAGGAGTGTAGCGGTGGACTGGGGGGGGGGGGGTGTGGAAGTGGTGCTGGAGCCGGGGGTGGTGATGGCAGTGTATTGGGATTTTAGGGGCAGAAACGTTTGGGACAAATGACAGCGGTTTGAGGCTCCTCTAGTCCAGAGAGCACCAGCACACCAGCAGCCGGCAGCTCGAAGCAGCTCTTGACAACACAGCGGCAGCAGGTGACTTTTGAGTGGACTCAAAAGTTGCCGGCAGCTCGAGACGGCTCTTGACAGCACAGCACCAGCAGCGTGATAGGAGTCTAGCTTTGAGGCGCTTCAAATCTAGAGCAGCAGCGCACCAGAAGCCGGCAGCTTGGGACGGCTCTTGACGACACAGCACCACCAGCAGGCAGCTCGACTGACCACTGACGCACCTTAGGGTTGGCTGGGCCTTGATCTGGTCGATCGCGAGAATGGATAAATCGCCACTAACTTTTAGCTGATCAGAAGTAAACGCTGCTGGTAGTTTCATGGGCGGCGCTGGGGAGGATGGGGGGGAAGAGGAGAGAAAATCTGGCAGTAGTAGGTTGGAACAGGTTGGGTGTGGAGGTGAGTCTCAGAGGATAATAATGGCAATAGGGAGGGCAGGGAAGGGGTGTGACAACGGAAGAAATCTATTGAGGGGGCGGTATTGGTTTGCCTAGCCTTGCTTTATGCCCTTGCATTAAATCAATATTTCATTTAAACCACAGGCTGAAACAGCAAAGGGGGGGCTCCAAGAGCGCCGCTCTTGAAAATGGGTAAACTTGAAAAAACTGGAGTGGTCGTGCGCTTGACACAGCCATAAGGGCGTGATACTTGCAAAACATGTCAACTTATACATATATTTGCATGTAGAAGTTTAGGCTAGATAGGTGTGTTCTTAGAGGGTACAACTCCAATCCTATATCTCCCTTGTTCTCTCTTGTTCTCTCTTGTTTCTAGTTATTATCATATCCTAACATGGTATCTGTCAAACATGTTTAGTTATCATGCTTGTATAGACTGTATAGGGTCATCTTCTAGAGAGTACAACTGTTAGGTATATGTTTGTGTACTCTCTCTCTCTATTCATCAATTTCACTGTTTGATATGGTATCACGCGTAGGTAGGATCCCCCCCCCCCCCCCTCACGCTTCCGCTCGCCCCCTAGCTGGGCCCCGTCGTGCTCCTAGCCCCGTCGCGACCCTCCCTAGCCCCGTCGCGACCCTCCCTAGCCCCGTCGCGCCCCTTCCTGGGCCCCGTTGCGCCCCTTTCTGGGCCCCGTCGCGCTCCTCCCAGGCCTCGTAGCGCCCCTCCAGGCCCCGTCGCGCCCCTTTCAGGGCTTCGTAGCGCCCCTCCAGGCCCCGTCGCGCCCCTTCCAGGGCCTGGTAGCGCCCCTCCAGGGCCCCGTCGCGCTCCTCCCAGGCCCCGTAGCGCCCCTCCTGGGCCCCATTGCGCTCCTCCCAGGCCCCGTCGCGCCCCTCCCTAGCCCAGTCGCGCTCCTCCCAGGCCCCGTAGCGCCCCTCCTGGGCCCCTTTGCGCTCCTCCCAGGCCCCGTCGCGCCCCTTCCAGGGCTTCGTAGCGCCCCTCCAGGCCCCGTCGCGCCCCTTTCAGGGCTTCGTAGCGCCCCTCCAGGCCCCGTCGCGCCCCTTCCAGGGCCTGGTAGCGCCCCTCCAGGGCCCCGTCGCGCTCCTCCCAGGCCCCGTAGCGCCCCTCCTGGGCCCCATTGCGCTCCTCCCAGGCCCCGTCGCGCCCCTCCCTAGCCCAGTCGCGCTCCTCCCAGGCCCCGTAGCGCCCCTCCTGGGACCCATTGCGCTCCCCCCAGGCCCCGTCGCGCCCCTACCTGGGCTTGGTAACGCCCCTCCAGGGCCCGTCGCGCCCCTACCCATCCCCGTCGCCCCTGCTCGGCCCCGTCGCCCCTGCTCGGCCCCGTCGCCCCTGCTCGGCCCCGTCGCCCCTGCTCGGCCCCGTCGCGGCCTATCGGCCGCGTGGCGCTCGCCCGGCCCCTGTCGCGGCTGCCCGGCCCCTGTCGCACCTGCCCGGCCCCTGCTCGCCCGCCCGGCCCCGTCGCCCCTGCCCGGCCCTGCTGTGGCCTGCCCGGGCCCCGTCCCTGCGCCGGCCCCGTCGCCCGCCCGGCCCCGTCGCAGCCGCCCGGCCACGTCGCAGCCGCCCGGCCACGTCGCAGCCGCCCGGCCCCGTCGCCCCTGCCCGGCCCTGCTGTGTCCGGCCCGGCCTCGTCCCTGCCGCCCGGCCCCGTCGCAGCCGCCCGGCCCCGTCGCAGCCGCCCGGCCACGTCGCAGCCGCCCGGCCTTGTCGCTGCCGCCCGGCCCCGTCGCCGCCGCCCGGCCCCGTCGCAGCCGCCCGGCCCCGTCGCCGCCGCCCGGCCTTGTCGTGCCTGCCCGGCCCCGACGCACCTGCCCCGGCCCTCCATACTTCCTGGTACTGTCCCCCGTTCCCCGCACCACTTTGCACCCTCCTGCACTTTCCTGCCCCGCCTTGCATCGCATTGCACCTCCCTGGATCGCACTGACCGCACTGCACCGCACTGGACCGCACTGCACTGCACTGCATCGCACTGCACCGCACTGGACCGCACTGCACCGCACTGCATCGCACTGCACCGCACTGCACTGTCCTCCACTGCCCCTCATGGCTGCTGAGCTTCGTTTTGATGTTGAGGGTCAGCCTCTGGAGTTCGAGGCGTGGTTGGCTGACCTTCGCCGCCACCTCACTGGCCAGCGGCAGGACGGCCACCCGCTTTCTGCACACCTAGACGGTATGCTCCCCTGCCCTGACCCCCCTGCTGTGCTGCCCGCTGATCCCACGCCCGCTGAGCGCGAGTCCACTGCCGCTGCTGCCCTTGCCCGCTCTGTCTGGCTTTCCCGCGATGCCCTTGCTCAGCTCGCCATTAGCAATGCCCTCCCCCCCACTGAGCGCCCTCGCTTTAGAACCATTCCTACCGCCCAGGCCTACCTCGATGCTGTCATCAAGCGCTATTCTACCCCTCCTGCTGCCTCAGTGGGTCGCCTGATCCTTCCCCTGCTCTTTCCTGACCTGACGTCTTTCCCCACTGTCTCTGACCTCGCTGCCCACCTGCGCTCGATAGATGAGGCCTGGCGCGCTGCCTGCACTGATGCTCAGCTTAGAGTCCACCAGCCTCCCATGACCTCTACCCTCTACCTCCTTGCCACCCGCCTACCTGACCGCCTTGCCGCCGCCCGCGACCAGTTCCTTAGCATCCACCCTGCTGCTCTCACCCTCACCGACTTTGTTGACACCCTGACTGCCATAGAGACTCGTCACCGCTCCATCGCCCTGGCGAGCGGTACAGTACCGGTCCCTATCTTTCAGGGTTGTGCCCCCGCTCAGTGTACCTTCTCCGACGGCTCTGTCGCTGTGGCTGAGACTGCTGCTGCAGTGCAGTCCCGCTCGGCGAAGGGCCGCCGCCCCAAGGTTGGGAGCGGCGGAGGCGGCGGGGGTGCGGGTGGGGGTAGTGGTGGAGGCGGGTCGTCCGGTGCCGGTGCGGACGTGGGGACCCTGCCCGGTCCAGCTGCCCCGCTGCCTCCACAGTTGCAGCAGCCGCAGCAGCAGCAGTCGCCGCAGCCGCAGCCTTCGCAGCAGCCGCAGCAGCCGCCGCAGACGAGGCAGGCGAGTACTCTCCCACCTGGGTGGCCTGGAGCTGGTGGTGGTCGTGCGCGTGGTGGTGCACCGGGTGGTGGTTCTGGAGGCGGGCCCTGTCAGTACCAGATCCAGACCGGTCCTCGCCGCGGCTTCGTTTGCGGTAAGATCGGTCATTCTACTCCTCGCTGTTTTCGTCGCCTGGACGACCTGTTCCGCCAGCGCTTTGGCCCGGCGCCCGACCTCCCGGACTGGCACAGCTTGCTTAGGCGTAGCATTAGGATTTTTGACTTGGACATGGATGCCATTGTAGCGGCCTTGCATGTGATGTATGCTGATGACTCTAGTGTGCTTCCCTCTTATTACCCCGTGTTGCCTAGTGTAGCGATGCCTAGCGTAGACTCCCCTGCTGCGTCAGGCGTAGGATCTCCTGCTTTGCTTAGCCTTGGTGCTTCCACCGCTTCACTGCTGCCTCGCGCGACTGCTGCGCTTTCCTTCACCTTGGACTCTGGCGCCTCCCGGTGTTTCTTCCGCGACTCCACGACGCTGACGCCGCTGCCTGTTCCCGCTGCAGTTACTCTTGCTGACCCCTCCGGTGGTCCCGTCGTTGCCCGCAGTTCCACCTCCCTTCCCTGTCCGGCGGTTCCTTCGGGCACTCTCACAGGTCTGCATATCCCCTCGTTCTCCAGGAACCTAGTTGGTGTCGGCTGCCTCCAGGACCTTGGCGTCACCACTACGTTCCCTGGTCACGAGCGGTATGCTGTCTGTACCGAGGCCGCCACTGGTGCCCCCCTGTCCACGTTCCCCCGGGACCCAGTGTCCGGCCTGTTCACTCTGGACACCGTGACCCCCCCGGCTGGAGCGCTCCCTCAGGTGGCTGCGTCTACCCAGGTTGCTGCTGCCTGCTCCTGTCGGTCCCTCACTCACCCGACTCTCCTTTGGCACCACCGCCTAGGTCACCCTGCGCTCCCGCGTCTGCGTCACATGTCCCAGCACGGTCTCGTCCTTGGTCTCCCCGGTTCGTTCCCCGAGTTTCCCTCCTCCCCCGCCCCACCGTGCACGCCTTGTGTCGAGGGCCGGCTCCGCCGTGCCCCTCACTCCTCCTCTTTTCCCCCTACCACCGCACCACTGCAGACTCTGCACATGGACGTCTGGGGCCCAGCCCCGGTCCATGGGCCGCGTCGCGAGCGCTTCTTCCTAGTGCTTGTCGACGACTTCACGCGCTACACCACCGTCTTCCCCCTGGAGCGGAAGGCCGACGTGCCTGACGTTCTCATCCCCTGGCTTGTCTCTGCTCGTGTCCACCGCGGTCTCCCTGCCTTGCGCCTTCACTCCGACCGGGGTGGCGAGTTTGCCTCAGGTGTCCTTGGTCGCTTCTGTCGTGCGGAGGGCATCACCCAGACGTTTACCCTGCCGGACTCCCCGCAGCAGAATGGGGTCGCTGAGCGACGCATCGGTTTGGTCATGGAGGTGGCTCGCACCTCCATGATCCACGCCGGTGCACCCCATTTTCTGTGGCCGTTCGCCGTGCGCTACGCCGCTCACCAGCTTAACCTGTGGCCGCACCCCCAGCGGCCGCAGGTTTCGCCGACCCTTCTGTGGACCGGGTCCCCTGGTGACGCGTCTGCGTTCCGCGTCTGGGGCTGCCTTGCTCACGTTCGTGCCTCTGGCACGGACAAGCTCACTGCCCGCACCCTCCCCTGCGTCTTCCTCGGTTTCCCCCTTGACGCGTCCGAGTGGCACTTCTACCACCCGCCGTCTCACCGCTTCTTTCACTCTCGCGACGTCACCTTTGACGAGTCCGTCTCCTTCTACCGCCGCTTTCCCCACCGTGGTCCCCCGGTTACTCCCCCCCTTTTCCTGGTTCCTCCCTCCCTGGTGGTCCCTGCCCCTCCCCCCCCCCGCCCCCCCGTCCGGCCCCCTCTGGTGTGTCTCACGTCACCCCCCTCCCGTCGGTCGTCCCGGTCGACGAGTCTTCTGACTCTGGTAGTCCTCCGGCGCAGTCCTCGCCGTCTGTCCCTCCCCCGGTGTCTCCTCCTCCACCGCCTCCGCAGCCGCCGTCGCCGCAGCTG